GAGTCTGATTTATTTCACTTATGAGTATGGTTTCTAGTTGCATCCATTTACCTATAAAAGCCTCGAGTTTATCTTTCTTTATAGCTGAGTAATACTCCATTGTATAAAAATACCGCATCTTTTTATCTGTGCCTCAGTTAATGGGCATTTGGGTTGTTTCCACAATTTAGCTATGACAGATTGCTCTGCTGTAAACATGGGTGTAAATATTTTGCTGTGGTACTATATTTTTAGTACTTTTGTTTTTTAAGGGAAATTTCCCCATGAGTTTCACTACCTTTCAGGTATTTCTTTTGCTTACTCCTGCTGAAGCTTAGGATTAGTAGTACCCCGAAGCCCCAGCCTTAAAACTAGTTATGCCATGTTGACCCATCCTTCAGAACTATTTCTAGGTTATTTTCCCTTGAAAAGTATTTTTATGACCTAGCCAAATGGTTCTCCCTATTACATAGATTCAAAGCATCATAACTTATCTTCATAGTTAGCATTTCATATTTAATATCGTGGGGTTTGTTTGTTTTTTTGAGACAGGTTTTCACTGTATACTCTGGGCTGACCTTGAATTTGAGGTGATCCCTTCGTCTCAGCCTCTCAAATGCTGGGATTACAAGTGTGCACCACCAAGCCTGGCTCTTAATGTTGTTTTTGACAATCTCTCCTGCGTATTTGTCTCAAAGTGCTAGAAATGAGTCCATTTTTGAATTTCATTGTATTCCTGGGACTTGGTACACTACCAACAATAGACACAGTTGAGTGACGTGGAGACGGCCCATTGTGTGGAACACTACCAGGAGTTAGAATGGTACAGAGCAAGCTACAGTATTCTGATGAAAAGCTCTCTGAAAAGTAGAGTGAGTGGTGGGGGGAATAGTGTATGGTAATATAAATATACTGATTTTCCCCCCTCACATATTTGAGAGACCATGAAACAAGAACTTGAAGTAGACTCCATGTGCAGTAGTAGTCGGTGTTTACCTGATAAAACTCTGTGAAGGGTGCAGAAGGATCTTCCAGCAGTGAAGGAAATGGTTTTTGGAGGGGTAGTCCAAGGAAAGCCTTATTTGTACTTCTAAAAACCTGCTTTACAATTTACTGCAGTAAGATTCACCAGTTTTAACTGTACACTTTGATTATTCTAACAGATGTATTCAGTAGTGTAGCCACCATCATAATCAAATCGGACGTCTCTGTTATCCCGGAAAGTTCCCTCGTGCTCCTTTGTCATCAGCTTCTCTTCACCGCTGGCCCCTGGCCACCACTGATCTGTGGCATTATAGTTTCTCTTTCCCAGAATTTCATTAAATGGAAACATAGGGGCTGGGGATTTAGCTTAGCAGCACAGTGCCTGCCCGGCAAGCACAAGGTCATAAGTTCGATTCCTGGTACTGGAAAAAAAAACAAAAAACAAAAAGGAAACATACGGGATGTAGTTTTTTGTGTTTAGCTTCTTTCTCTCAGCATGATTTTGAGATTCATCTACATTATTACATGTAGTTTTTATTTAATTGCTAAGCACTATTGATTATATAGATACAAAGTTTTGGGGGTGTTTTTCCTTTTTCTCTTTTTTTGAGACAAGGTCTTGGCATGTAGCCAGACTGGCCTTGAACTCGCTATGTAGCCCAGGCTGGCTTCGAACTCATGACAATCCTCCTGCTTCAGTCTCCTGAGTGCTGGGATTACAGGTGTGCACAACCATGCCCCGCCTTAGTTTTGAGTTATTGTGAATAAACCTGCTATGAACATTAAAAAAAAACAAAGCTTAAGCCCAAAGGCAGACACTGAAGGTTTGAGTGGTGGCTGTCCTTACTAGCCTGGCTCTGGATCACAGGAACCTGAGGCTGAGCCCTGGAATCCTCCTTTCTAAAATGAAGAACAGCAGTCTAATTGATAGAAGATAAAATGAAATAATGCCAAGACTTAGTGTTGCACCTCAGATATCATCAGACTTTGGTAGCAGAAATGCTGAAGCCATGGTCCTTTAGATTCTCTGTGCATGTGTGTGCGTGCAGTACTGGGGATTAAACTCCAGGACCTTTCCACCAGCTGTAGCCCCAGCCCTTTTTGCTTTTTGTTTTGAAACAGGGTCCCCTAAGTTGCTGAGTTGCCGGGGATGGGCTTGAGGTTGGTCTGATTAGAATGGGAGCGTCACACCTCTCAATGTCCTAATCCTTCTCATCCCTGCTTAGCCACTCATCCGTTTTCAGTCTGTAGATCAGCCCATTCTGGACATTTCATATAAGTAGATTCCTACAGTACTTTGTTTTTGGTGACTGGCTTTTCTAACTGAGAGTGTATTAGGACTTCATTGCTTTTTATCTGCTGAATAATATTTTACTGTGTGGATAGACCACCTTCTGTGACCCATCCTCTCACAGGAGGACTTGTCTGTGAAGGCCGGGCAAGTGTTTCAGAGGGAAAACAGGATTGGTCGAGTGGCCAAGCAGGCGCCAAGTGTGCTGTGTGCTCTGTGCCCTGTGGGAAGGTGGTATCTAAGGAGGTGGAGGGAGGCACCCCACAACCACACTCATAAGAGAAGGCATGGACTTTCCTATGAAGTTGGCCAGTTGAGAGGAGAAGGATTTTTGTTAGGGTTTTGTTTTGTTTGGATGTAGAAGACCTAAGTTCTTTGTGGTCCAAATGGAAGGGAAGCCGCAGAGGCAGTGGGAGGTTTGGAGAGTGGAAAGAATAGGATGTAAAGGCGGGGAAAGGGCACAAGGGGCATGGGGATGTGACAAGGGGCCAGCGGAGCTGTCCTTCTTCGTGGGAAGAAGTACGTGTACTCTGCTCAGCTGGGCAGTAGAGAGGAGCAAGAGCTTAGGAGCACCATCCACAAAGGAAGAATTGTGAATAAGAGAAAATGTAAAGTTCTTTTTCTTTTTCTTTTCTTTTCTTTTCTTTTCTTTTCTTTTCTTTTCTTTTGTGGGGCTGGGACTTAAACCAAGGGCCACACAAAATTCTGGACAAGTGCTGTACACTGAGCTTCACTCTCAGCTCAAAAATATAAAACTCCTGACCAAGGAGAGACAGCTGTAGTTATTCAGAAATCTTATATTGTTCACCAGTGATGCCAGGGAATTGAGACATTACAGGTGGTTTTTGTGCGTGTGGTAAAATAAAAATACCATGAAATTTGGCATCTTAACCTCTCCCTCCCTCTGTGTATTCTTTCTCTCTCCCCTCTCCTTCCTTTCTTCCTCCCTTTCTTCCTTTCTCTCTCTCTCTCTCTTTCTCTCTCTCTCTCTCTCTTTCTTTCCTTCTTTCTTTCCCTCCCCCTAATGGTAGAAATTGAACCATTAGAAATGGTAGGCAGATGCTCTACCACTGACCTACCCATCCTCCTGGCCCTTTTTACCTATTAATTTTGAGACAAGGTCTTGCTAAGTTGCCCAGGCTGGAATCAAAACTTGTAATCCTCCTGCTTTAGCCTCCTGAGTAGTGAATTACAGGTGTGTACCACCGTGCCTGACCATCTTAATCATTTTTAAGTGTGAAGATCATGCAGCCATCACCCTTGCTGTCTCCAGTAGGACTTTTTCATCTTCCCCAACTGCAGGTCTGTCCCCATTCCCTGTCCAGCCCCTGACACACACCACGTTACTTTCTATCTCTGTGGATTTGACCACTGTAGGGACCTCATGAATAAGTGGACTCACATAGTGTTTGTCTTTTGTGCCTGGCTGGCTTTGTGTTGCAGTTATTTTCCCAGGTGTTGGGGACTGAACCCAGGGCCTTTATACTGAGCAGTATCTCCACCCACCCTCCTTTTTGAGACAGGCAGCCTTGAATTCACTATGTAGCTGAGGCTAGTCTTGAGCTTACAGCAATCCTCCTGCCTTACTCTCCTGAATGCTGGGATTACAACACCCAGTTCCAGTCTTTTAAAAAGTTGTTTATTTTGAGAAAGGGTCTCCTAAGCCACTAAGTTGCCTGGGCTGGGCTTGAATTTGCAATCATCCTGCCTCAGGCTCCCAGAGTGCTGGTTATACAGGTGTGCACCACCACAGCTGGCTACAGTTGTTTTTAAATGCTTAATTCTCATTTGATGTCCCTTACACTTAATATTTTTATTTTCCTCATTGTGTTACAAGCCCTTTACATATAGTCATCTCCATTTGTGTAATATGGCATTCTGGAATACGTTTATGTCAGGTACTTCCCAACCGTTCATATGGTTCCACCCATCAACCCACTAGGTTCAGTCACTTACCAAATATATCAGTTATATGTTTGGCTACTGCTGTGTAACAAATGACTTCTAGTCTTCCTGCCCTAAAAAACACCAATTAGCTGAACATGGTGACACATATTTCTAGTCCCAGTTACTCAGGAAGCTGTGGTAGAAGGATCACAAGTTCAGAGCTAAGCTGGCAACATAATGAAACCCTGTCTCAAACTATAAAGGGCTGGGGATGTAGCTAAGTGATAGTGATTGCCTTGCATGCATGAATCTGTGGGTGCTATTCCTAGCACTGCACATGTGTGATAACAGTAGTTAGTCATTGCTGTGGGCTCCAGCTACCTGGCCTGTCCCACCGTGGTTTCCCAGGCTCCTTCAAGTGTCTACACAGCTGGAGTGGGGCTGCCAAGCCACACGGTACTGGGTGATTGCCTCTGGGTCTGGCAGCACCACAGCGTCTGTGTGTGGCCTTCTGTAAAGCTTCTTTCTCTTGGCCCTCAAGGTGAGGGCTTGTGGCTCATGAAGCCTCTGCCTGCCACACTATTGGGCATGGCAAACTACTGAGACCAGTTCAGAGTCACAGGTGGAAATAGTGTTGCTGCAGAGGTGCCTGCATACTTAACTGGGCAGATCTGTGGTCATTTAAACAGTCTACCACACCTGGCCCTGTAATGGGTGAGCGTGGGAACAGTACATCACGTCCAAGTCTAGTGGGTAGCAGGGCCTCAGCCTTCCCATGAAACTGTGGTCAGCACAGGACAGGCCTTTTGTTCTGGTGGAGCTTTTCCACATTTGTTGATGTATGTGAATCATGGAAGCTTGTGTTTGTGTGTGTATACAAGTACATGCACCCGTATGGCTGTGTGTGGGTGGGGTGTGCTGGGGCTTGAAGACAGGGCCTTCACACTGAGCTATATCTCCAGTTCTCTCTTTTTTAAAAAAAAATTTATTTTGAGACGGGGTCTCACTAAGTTGTGAAATTGCCCAGGCTGGGTAATTTGAGGCCCTCTTGCTTTGGGGAGCTGACTGCAGATCCCCAGGTCAGACCCCTGGGTAATTTAAGGCCCTCAAACTCAGCCTCCTGCAGTGCTAGTATTACAGGTGTGTGCCACCACTCCTGCCTTGAAAGCCTTTCAAAAACAGAAATTTTGGTTGAGAGGATGGCACTATTTGCTGGGGGTGGTGCAGCTGCATGTGAATGTGGGATGTCTTTGGTCGTGCCAGCCTTGACTCAGGGAAGTGCCTGGCCTGGAGGAGGCTGGGCTGCAAGCCTGGCAGTCTGAGACACAGGTGGCTGCAGTGACCTGCAGGAAGCTGAGTGTCTGAGGAACAGGGGCCGCTCAGGACACAGCCTGGCCTGGAGTGGTGGGGGCGTTCCTGGGTCCAGAGGGTGGAAATGCATGAGGATCTGGGAGGATACAGGTGATAGGTCCCCAAGGCCACACGTCTCAGATGTGCCTGATCATCCAGGAGCACAAGGTGTGGATAACCAGGGGGTGGTCTGCCCACAGAAGGCCCTGTGCCGAGGTCCTCAGCTTATGGCACAGTGTTGGGGCAGAGCTGCCGGTGTAACCCTTTCCTGCCCAGGAGGCATCCTCAAGGGACCTTTGCCTTGGGTGTGCCTAGTTCCTAGCACCACCTCGTCGTTGCCCTGTGGGGCAGGGTGGGCAGGGCCTGGGAGGGACTGAACAGAAGGAGCTGGGGCCAGGGCTCCAATCATTTGCCAGTTGCCTGAGGATTTCTTTGCCAAGGAGCACCTTGCTGCTGCCAGGAAGGCTATAGGGACCTGGTGCCTCTGGAGTGACCAGGTCTTTGGGGAGCTAACTGCAGATCCCCAGGTCAGGGAACATGGGGGGGATTAGAACTACAGAACTTGTGGGGGCAACAGTTCTAGGTAGAGAAGCTGAAAATGTCAGGGGAGCTACAATCTTATTTAGGGGCTCTTACTGAGAAGTATGAAGACCCACCAACAGCCAGTCACCTCAGAGAGGCCAGCCATACTGATGACTTGTGGCAGCCTCAAAAGGCCTCTGTACAGGCCAACCCAGCCCACACTGGCACCTTTTCCAGGCTGCAAGCCTGGGAGCCCCCAGTGACCTTGTGGGGTCCCTCCAGCCCATTCACAGCCCTATCCTTGCCTGGCTGAGGTTGCATCAGCAACAGCTCAAGCATACGGCCACTTCTTTTCTGGGTCCTGTCGTCTCCCAAGGGCTGGGCGGGCCTGGGGCCTCCAGACTAAGATAAGGACTGGCTCTGCACAACATCCAGGCAAAGTGCACAGGGCCTAGGCAAGTCCCCAGGCGGAAATAGTGGGATTTAAACATAGGCCGGGGCTATAGCTAAGTGGCACAGCACCTGCCTGGCAAGCACAAGGTCCTGAGTTCAATTCCTGGTACAACAAACAAACAAAAAAAAAACCAGGTTTTATGTACCTCCACGTTCTCATTGGTGAAGGGATCCATGAGAATGGCCTGCTCGTAGCCCATGGGCTAGAGGTTAAAAGGGAAGAGTAGGTGCAGACACCACCTCTGTGTTGGGCTCAGACGAGGCTCTGTAGGTAGAAGGTCAGTTACTAGTGCAGTGTCACCTGCCAGCCCCTGGGGAGGGGCATCCTTGGCACTGTGTATGAATGGGGAAGGGGAAGCCTGAATGGGGAGGTGATGTCCAAGGCCCTGGAAGAGGAGCAGCAGAGCAGAAGCATCAGCTCGGGGGCTCTAGTTCTGTCAGGTCCCTTCCCAACCTCTCAGCCTCACGGCCTCAAGGACCCGGAGGTGGCCCGTGTGGCCCAGCTCCATCCCAGCTCCATTTCTAAGCCCCAAGCCCAAGGGCTTCTCCACTGACTGAGGTTTTGCCTCCTCCGTTAGGGCAGAGTCCAGATTGGCGGATTCCAGGCCAGGGAGGAGGAGGAGCTCATCTGCCAGGGCCGAGCATGAACTGAGGTTCCCAGGATGCCCCTGCCTGAGCCCAGTGAGCAGGAGGGTGCGAGCATGAAGGCTGCCCAGGAGCCATCCCTGGAGCCCAGCGTGGATGTTGCCCCGGCAGACCCCAGGGAGCCCCAGGAGTTCTCCAATCTGGTCCTGCTGACCTCAGACCAGGCAGGGAACGAGATGGGCTCTGATCCCACGGAAGTACACTGTGTCATCTCCCTGGAGGTGGTTGACCCCTCCACCCTGACCAGCACCCTCGAGATCCTGCCAGCTGAGGAGGAGGTACAGGCAGTGCAGCCGCGCATATGGTCCTCGGGGCTGAAGCGCAGCAAGCTGGAGCCAGGTGAGGCATCTGGGGCACCACTTGGCCCCCGTCCCTCGGTGGGTCTGCATGCTGAGACGTGACCCTGTGCACCGCTTGTCTAGCAGGGTGACCTCGATGTGCCAGCCCTGCTTGCAGAAGGCTCATGGTCTCTAATCTCCACTAGCCCCATGCCAGGGTACCTGTCACCTGATGTCATCCCTGTGTGTGTAGCACCTCCCTTCTGGGCATTGTATCTGCCAGAGCCCATAGTAATTGCAGTGCTGTCTAGAATTCCTTCAACTCCTTAGCACATCTCCTCTCCCCTTGAAACGAGCCTCAGGAATCTGGGCTTTTTGCCTGGCAGCCAGGAATCAGAGGAGACAGCCTGACCACAGTGACCTGCCCCACTCTGGGACCCATGGCCCTCACTGGCTCTTGCCCCCATGTGGCTGACTAGCTTTCTGTTTGTCCCTACAGTCTCCCAGCCCCTTGAGTTCCTGAGGACCCCATTTGGGGGCCGCCTGCTTGTCCTCGAGTCCTTCCTGTACAAGCAGGAGAAGGCTGTGGGGGACAAGGTGTACTGGAAGTGCCGCCAGCATGCTGAGCTGGGCTGCCGGGGCCGGGCCATCACCCGGGGCACGAAGGCTACAGTGATGCGGGACCACTGCCACCTGCCGGACGAGAAGGGCCTAGCGGCCCGGCGCGAGAAAGAAAAGCTGCCTAGCTCGGATCCTGAGGACCCTGGAGGACCAGTGGAGGAGCTGCTCAAGGAAGTGAGCCCGTGGCTGTATCCTCAGGAACCACAGCCCGCCCCCCAACAGGAACGGAGCCAGCCAGCCCCAGAGCAGAGCCCGGTGCTTCATACCCTGCCCATGCTGAGCTTGCCATTCAAGAAACGCCGGTTACGGAGCATGGGTGAGTAAACGCCACCCCTGCCTCCCTGGGACAGTGGGAGCCCACAGGTTTATTCATGCCTGAATAGAAACGGGGGGCACCACGTCTTGTTTTAAAATGTGCTAGGGAAGCTGGGCTTGGTGGTGCACACCTATAATGCCAGCACCCTGTGAGCCTGAAGCAAGATAATTGGAAGTTTGAGCCTACCCTGGGCAACTAAGTGATTTAGCAAGATCCTATCTCAAAACAAAAAATAAATTTAAAAAGGGCTGGGGATATAGCTTAGTGTGAAAGTCCTGGGTTCAATCCCCTATAACAGAAAAAAAAAATGGTGCTCAGAGAAAAAAGTGCTCAAACTGGGCATGGTGACACACGTCTGTAATCCCAGCACTCAAGCGGCCGAGGCAGAATTGCTAAAAGTTTGAAGCCAACCTGAACTACACAGGGAGACCCCGTCTCAAAACAAAACGAAATGTGTGCTCGGGATCATAGTACCTTTGAAGAACATGAACATGTCCCATTAATCATTAAGCCTGTGGGACACTGCTCTTCACCCAGCTGGGATCTGGATTTAAGCATGAAGTAATGCTGGGCTGGGGAAAGGGGTGGGGCAGGAGAACCTTTTTTCCTTTTTCTTCTCAGATCCTTTAGTTGCATGTGAGTTTTATAGCAGTGCATGTGTGTATTATTCAAAAACTGGATAAAAATTTTAAACAAAGTGTAAACAAGAGTGACTTGGAACCCAGACTGCCAGCTTGACTCTTCCAGTGTTATCTTGGGCATGGCGTTTAACCCCCTTGAGCCCTCCCTGCCCCTGGAAGAGGAGTCAGGTCCTTCCTGGGTGGCTGCTGGGTGCCCAGCGTGGGTGCCTGGCCAGCGGGGGTGGGAGAACACCTCAGTAAGAGGTAGCTGCACAGGAGAAAAGCACCGATCCCTGGTCGTCTCCAGCTCTGCCACGGGCCACTCCTGCCCTGCCTGCTGGGTCCCGACCACCCTGATTGCTCCCTGCAGGCCTGCCTCCAGGCCTGGAGTTCCTGAAGACGTGCTACGGGGGCAGCTTCCTCGTGCACCAGTCCTTCCTCTACAAGCGGGAGAAGGCTGTGGGCGACAAGGTGTACTGGACGTGCCGGGACCACACGCTGCGTGGCTGCCGTAGCCGCGCCATCACCCAGGGCCATCGGGTGACAGTGATGCGAAGCCACTGCCACTCACCTGACATGGAGAGCTTGCAGGCGCGGCGGCGGCAGGAGAAGACCATGCAGACACTTCCGGCCAGGCCAGCTGGTCCTGGGGGCTGCACAAACAAGCTGCCCCAAGGCATGGACGGTCCAATCGGTCACCAGGGGCCAGGGGCCACCAGGCGTCGCCCCAGAAAGAAAGCAAAGGTCAAAGGTCAGGAGCTCTCTGCTCAGACACAAGTCCCACAGGGACCCCCCGAAGAGGAGCAGGACACAGATCCGGGTGAGCCTTTGTCCCTGGGGACTAGGTGCCTCAGGTCCTGCGCAAGGGCGGTGTGGGGACCTGCTTGCCCAGCCACTCCAGACTCCTCAACCTGCTGGCCTTGCTCCTCCCTGACTGCCTCTCCTATACCCCCAGGAGGCCCAGAGTTCATCCGAACCCCACTGGGGGGCAGCTTCCTGGTGTACGAGTCCTTCCTGTACAGGCGTGAGAAGGCCGCTGGGGACAAGGTGTACTGGACGTGCCGCGACCAGGCGCGCATGGGCTGCCGCAGCCGCGCCATCACCCAGGGCCGGCAGGTGACAGTGATGCGTGGCCACTGCCACCCACCTGACGTTTTGGGCCTGGAGACCATGCGGCAGCGGGACAAACACCCCAGCCCTACTCATCGGGAGAGCCTAGGTATGTGGGGAGACCCTAAGCCTTCCACCTGGTTTCCTGTGAGCATTCGAGGAGCCGCAGTCCTGTTCTGACCTCTTTACCTTGCCTCTACTCCTCAGCCCACACGGGTGCCCTGCTGTCCCACACCCCCCTCAGCCCTTGCTCATCCCAGCTGCCCCCAAATCTCCCGAGGAGCCCAGGCTTATTCCTTCCTCCTCTTTTTCTGTCATTGTAAGAGTTTACTATGCTGCTATAGAAAGCTGAGTGCATGAGGTCAGGTCCTGACCCTCACTGGGGAAGGGGGCGAACCTGATTCTGGCTGACAAAAGTCTCACCGTCTGGACTGAGGAAGGCAGAAGTGAGATTTACTGGGAGCCAGGGTTTCTCCTCCAGCCTTCTTCGTGGCCGCCTGCCCTTGGACCACCACACTGTTCTGCTTGTCCCAGTCTGCCGGCTCAGGAATGGTGCCTGGTGCCTTGATTCTGAGGGTCACCAGGATGGAGCATTCCTGTACCCGACTGGCTGAGGAGAGGAAGCAGGACCCCTCACTTGCCAGCTGTCTGTTGTGTCCACCGGGCACTTCCTCCTGAGGCGTCCTGTCCTGTAGTTTTCGGAGTCATGTGAGTTACTTTTTGGTCCTAAAGTTCTCCCACACTTGAGAGCCATGGTTTTATTCTTTGCCTCACTTTGCATTCCGGAACACCATGAGGTGCCCGCTGCCCAGCCCTCCCCACAAGTCGCCGCTCTAAGCAATTTCTCTTGTTTCTTAAGATACTGGCTATCCCATTTCTTTAAAAAATATCTCTCTCCCTCCCTTTCTCTCTCTCTTGTGTGATCCTAGACAGTACTGGAAACTGAACCCAGGACCTTCACACAGAGCTACATCCACTGTAGCCACTCCAGAAGGATGCATTACAGTCTGGGGAGGTGTGTCTGCATAGTCACCTGAGCTCCAGACAGGCAGGGTCACAGTGGTCCCTCCCAGGTCCATGGTTCAGGAGGGACCTTGTCAACCTCGAGACAAGAGGGACCCAAGAATTTTTTAATTTTTTTTTTTTTTTGAGACAGGGTCTCACTATGTAACCCAGGCTGTCCTTGAGTTCACTATATAGCCCAGGCTGACCCTAAACTCCCAGCGATCTTCCTGTCTCAGCCTCCCTCCCGAGTGCTGGAATTACAGATGTGCGCACCACACCTGGTTTACACAATTTTTATTTTGAGGCAGATCTTGCTAAGTTGCCTAGGCTGGGCTCAAATTAGCAACCCTCCTGCCTCAGCCTCCCAGAGTGTCTCCCTGCTTACCCAGTTGAAAAATGTGTTTCAGTGGCTATTAACTGGTTTCTCAATGTCTTTGTTGCCTGTTGAATTCCAACCAGAGAAAGTAAGGATCAGCTTCATACTTGTTACACAGGTTGTGTTTATTTTGTCATAGAAATCTGTCACTGTCTCGCTGAGAGGGTACTGCTTAGAAGGAAGTTCCTGCATAGCTCCTTACTTTCCCTGGGGTCCAGCAGCCACTTTGTTGCCTGGTTTTCTAGGGACCTCTTGCTGCTTCCTTCTCACTCACGTGGAAACAGCTGCTGGTCTTGCTGGTGGCAGCCTTCTGGTTCCTGCTGCAGCCTGGCGTGGCCTGGGTGAGGCCCAGCCACCACCCCACGGGCTCTTCACTACACTCTCCGCATCTCTGCCTTTCTTTTTCTTGGGTCCCTCTTGTCTTGAGGTTGACAAGGTCCCTCCTGAACCATGGACCTGGGAGGGACCACTGTGACCCTGCCTGTCTGGAGCTCAGGTGACTATGCAGACGCACTTCCCCAGACTGTAATGCATCCTTCTGGAGTGGCTCAGCCTGTTCTGGGTCAGCATAGCTGACCCTGTGTGTGATCAGCTGCTGCTCGGGGACGTGGCCCCTCCTGTCCACCCCTGGAGCACAGGGCTAGGGGGCAGTCATTGCTCAGCTGTGTCCTCCAGCACAGAGTATCCTCTTTTTCTTTGGCACGTGGTTTACCACTGAGCTAAATCTCCAGACTTTTTTTTTTTTTTTTAAATGTAGTTGAGGCTGGTCTCAAACTCACTATGTAGCCCAGGCTGGCTTTGAATTTGGGTGATCCTCCCGCCTCAGCCTCCTAAGTGCTGGGATTACAGGCGTGTGCCGCCACACCCAGCCTGTTTAAGCTTTTGCTCCTGTGGTCTGACATCTCCACACTCAGCTTGAGGGATGGGATAAGTGTGTTCAGGGTGAAGGGGATATGGGCATGGTCCCCTGTCCTTGCCAGGACACTCACCTGTCTCATTACCCCTCATCCTCCGGCCGCCTGTGTGGGGTCTGCACAGCATCCCCACCTTTTTGAACCTCCCGCCTCTAGGCCCTGCCTCTCAGCTGCTTCCCTGCACGGGCTGGCTGAGTTCTCAGTTGGCCGTGTGTGTGGGCCACCTCTTTCCACATCTCTGGCCACTGTCCTGTCCTCTCCAAATCTGTGGCTTTGTGCGCTGCAACTTTTTTATTCCCCTACAGATCTTTGAATCCAGCATGGAAGGTGGGGAGCCATAGCCCTATGGTCACGTGCCTTGTTCCTCTTAGTCTGGTGTTCCCACGTCCTCCTGGCTGGCTGTCCCTGTGCCGCAGCCCCCTGCCCCGCTGTGCCTCTACTCTGCAGGCGTCCCCCTCCCAGCTGCCCCCTTGGATCCCACCTGCACCGTCTTCCCTGCCTCTCTAGGTGGCTCTGTAGAACATTCTCCTCCCCTTGCTCTTTTTTTCTTCTTTCTTTTTGAGACAAGCTCTCGCTATGCCGTTCAGGCTGGCCTTGAGCTCACTTTGTAGCCCAGGCTGATCGCGAACTCTCAAAGATCCTCCTGCCTCAGCCTCCTGAGTGCTGGGATCACAGGCATGCACCACCATGCCTAGCTTTTCTTTCCTTTTGAAGTTTCTTCCCATTTTACAGTATCTAGTGTACATTTTGGATCTTATTTACTGTTTCAGCTGGGATTACCCGGCTACTCCCCTAGCTCTTGACACTATTTGAGGACTTCTTGCCTGTCTGCAGTCACTGCTCTGTGGCCCCTGCCCTACACAGAAGGTCCTCTGGGCAGTAGGGCATGGCTGCCCCCAAGCTCCACTCACATCCCAGGGGGCAGTGCCACTTCTGCCTGTTCCGTCAACCCTCGGTTCGTACCTCTGCCCAGCAGGGCTGCCTCATGTGGGTGCCACGACTCGCTGTGGTCACCTCTGCCTGCAGGCTCCTTGCCGGCCAGTCCTGAGCCTCGGCAAAGGGAGCCCCTGAGCTGAGTTGGGGGAAAGCAGGGTCGGTGTCCTGGCCCCTAGGGCCTCCTCGCTGTGAACAAGGACTCCGATGCTTGGGGTGAGGCTGGCCTGCTTTCAGCTCTTGAGAACAGGGGTGCCCCCCATTCCTCCCCTCCCAAGGCCTGGGCTCCCAGCTCCTCCTCTCTGATCGCCTCCCCTTGTCTCAGCAGGAGGTCCAGAGTTCATCCGAACCCCACTGGGGGGCAGCTTCCTGGTGTACGAGTCCTTCCTCTACAGGCGGGAGAAAGCCTCCGGGGACAAGGTGTACTGGACGTGCCGTGACCAGGCGCGCATGGGCTGCCGCAGCCGCGCCATCACCCAGGGCCAACACGTGATGGTCATGCGCAGGCACTGCCACCCGCCTGACCTGGGTGGTCTAGAGGCCCTGCGGCAGCGGGAGCACCTGCCCAACCTGGCCCAGTGGGAAGGCCCAGGTGCGGTGGGTGACACACAGGCCCTGGGCCCTGATCCCCTCCTGGGAGTGGGCTCCAAGGCTGCAGCCGTCATGCACAACGTTGGTGCTGGCCTGGGGTGGCCGTTGGTGGGCTAAAGCAGACTGGTAGAGAAAGGGCACAGGGGTGAGGAGTGGCATTAGTGGCAGCCACAGGAAATCTTTTCAGTACCAGGTAATGGGACCTGGACCGCGAAGAGCCTCTGTCCCCACTGCGTCTGTCTGTCTGCTCTCCCTGCCCCCGTGCTGTCCCCTGCTTCTGTTCTCGTGCGGTTCTCTCTGGCCGCCCACTCCTTCCATCATGTACCCACTGTCACATGACCTAAAGTTCAGCTCCTTCCTTCATTTTTATTTTTAATTTTTTGTGATGTTTGGATTGAACCTACAGCCTTTGCACTGAAATTCATCTCCAACCCTTTTTATTTTTCACTGTTTGAGACAGAGTCTCTCAGTTGCTCAGTTGCCTGGGCTGGACTCCAGCTTGCGGTGCTCCTCCCTCCGCCTCCCAGAACGCTGGGATTACAGGCGCGCTGCCACCATACTCGCCTTCAGTTCAGCCTCTTTAAAGCCTGAGAGTCGGCTTGGTTGCCAGCTGGCCCCGCGGGGTGGGTGGACAGGGAGCTGGAAGGGCCCTGGGGCACAAACTAGGTCAGCTGTCGAGGGGTGGGGGCACCAGCGGGAGTCCCGAGCGGTCAGGGCAGAGCTCGGAGTTGGGGTGGCTGCAGGACCCCCCTGTCCAGGCCACACTGGAGCCCTTGCTGAGGGAGCCCATCTGGTGTGGGCTGGCGACTTCTGTCCATAGGGCCCCAAGGGACACGTAGAGGGTAGGGGCAGGGACCAGAGTGGGAAAACGGTGGCTGAGGGGACAGAGTTCACCATCCCTAGTATACCAAGCCCGGGCTCCAGACATCCCCTCACTGCATCACTTTGCCCTCCAGAGCCTCAGCAGCCCCTGGAGTTCCTGAGGACGTCCCTTGGTGGCAGGTTCCTGGTGTACGAGTCCTTCCTCTACCGGAAGGAGAAGGCTGCTGGCGAGAAGGTGTACTGGATGTGCCGGGACCAGGCCCGGCTGGGCTGCCGCAGCCGCGCCATCACCCAGGGCCGGCGCGTGATGGTCATGCGCAGCCACTGCCATCTGCCTGACCTGGCTGGCCTGGAGGCCCTGCGGCAGCGCGAGCGGCTCCCCAACCCGGCCCAGCAGGAGGACCCAGGTACACACAGGCAGGGTGGGTGTCAAAGGCTGGGGACACGAGAGCTGCTTTGTCTTGGTGTCTGCCAGCTCAGAACTGGTGCGTGCGGAGCCTTAACCTGACCCTTCTACTTTTCAAGAACATTCTCCCCTGTTCCCCACTAGCTGCTTCTCCTTGACCTGAAACCACGCTGACATTTCTCCTGTCCTTAAAAACAGCTTCCATTCCAACTGCTGTTCCTCTCCGTGCTTTTATTCTCAGACACCCTAACTTCCCACGGGTCACTGTCTCATGAAATATGCTGAAAAAGAGAGACCACTCCAGAAGGACGCGCTAATGTCTGTGTCTGTGGGTGCACACACCCGTGTACAGCACGTTTGCAAGTAATCAGTTCCGTTGAATTGAAGATGGTTGCTTTCACATAATCGACTGTAAAACCAGCCTGTTGGAAGCGTGTCTCCTCTCATGCGTGTGAACATAAAGGGCCACAGTGTGCAAAATAGAAATGAATCCAATTAGAAATCAATCCAATAGAAATGAATCCTGGTGTATAAAACAACCAGAAAATACTTGATTTCTCCTTTAAAAACAAATTTCCATGAGAAATACTTCAGTCTGGCTTAATCAAGAAGCGAAGGTCACAGGAGGCTTTGGCACGGTGGTAGCGTCCCTTCTTTGATGTTGAGCTGATTCCCAATTCAAATAGCTTACTTTACCCGGCACAGGTAGTTTGGGGTGTTAGAAAGCGAGAATTTCCAGTGATCCCCCAGCCAGTTTCTCTGCCTATTTATGTTAGGAGCCTTAAGGTCATCTCGAACAAGGTGTGACGTTGGCTGAGTCAGCTTCAGCAAGAAATGTGTGTGTGTGTGTGTGTGTGTGTGTGTGTGCTGTATGCATTGTAGGCTTGAAACAATTCAAGTACTGGGCTTTAAAGGCAAATTACTGATTCTTAAAACCTAGCTATAATGTAGTTTCAGAGGTAAGTTCTTCCTAGCTTAACTGTAATGACGTAGATTGCCTTCCATTTATTTTCATACGTCTTTTTCCCATGGTGACTTAGAAGGACTGCTTCAAGCCAATATAAATATTTCATAAATAGTCACTCATTTTCTAAGCATTTGGGTAACTATTTGTTGCACAATAAGTCATTTCATGTCTATTAGCAAGAAAAATACTGAATCAGAAGAGAAAAAACATGATATAACTAACTGGGTACAGTGAGAACCTGCTGTAAGTATTTAGGGCTGAGGACACACACACACACACACACACACACGCACGCACAAGCTGGGTGTAGGGGTGCATTCCTGTAATCCCAGCACTCAGGAGCTGAGCCAGAAAGGTCACTGTGAGTTTGAGTCCAGCCAGAGTTACATAGTGAGTTCAGGGCCACCCTGAACTATATAAGTGAGATCCTGCCTCAAAAAACAAAACAAAAACAACCTCCCGCACCTTCATAATTCAAAGAACCTTATATTATTTTTAGCAGAACTAGGTGTTGAACCCAGAACCCAGAATACCTTCTCTGCTCGTTAGGCACCGAGGGCAGAGCCACATCCACAGTTTGTGCCATGAGTTCGCGGGAACGGGTTCCAGTAGTTCAGGCTCCTTCCCGCTGGTTCTCACAGTGCGCTTCTCTGGGCGGGGCAGGCTGGCACTTCCGCTCAACCCAGAGGCCTTTCTCTGTAGCTTCCTTCTCTTTCTGATCATTTTCCTTTGCCTGTTTGAGGAGACTGGGCTCTTAAGAGTCCTTAATACGTTTTAATCTCTTGGAAAGCATCTTGCCCTTAACTAGCTTGTCTACAGCAATGCCAGCAGCATGCTGGGTGACACTGTACATCGTCTCACTTTTGCCACATAGCTGAGTACTAAGCAACATCCCAGCCCATTTCATTTATTTATTTTTTTAAATTCAGAGACAGGTTCTTACCGAGTTGCTAAATTGCCCAGTCTGGGCTCAAACTCAAGATCTTCGTGCCTGTGCCTCTCAAGAGTGCTAAGATTATGAGCCTGTCCCACCATGCCTGGCTTCTAAGGACTGGCTTTGCTGTGTCCCACCTTTTGGTATACTGCATCTATCTCATGTTTCACTTTCAACAGTACCCACTCCCCTGATGTCTGTAACATCACCCTTTGACAAAGTCACAAACATGTGGCCAGACGAGCAGCACCGTGTTTTCTAAAAGGCCTGGAGCACATGCACTGGGATCTTTTGGCTTTTTGCCTTTGTCTTTATCGTTTTGGCAAATCATTGAAAGGTGGTCTAGCAAAAGAATTCTTAATTGCTGTTTTCAATTTTTTTCCCCAGAAAAGATAAAACTTCTGCCTGAAGCTCAGCTGTGCATGGAGACTTGTCCTGAAAGCCAGCAGAATTGTGGGTAATTGTGTTAGTTACCGATCTCACAGTTTTTCTGGGTCAAGATGGCAGGAGTGGTTGGGCTGTGTGATTCTGACTTGGGGTCTCTTACGAGGTTGAAGAATGAATGCAACCAGGGCCGTAGTCATCCATCTGAAGGCTCAGTGGGGCGGGCGTCCACTTCCAGAGTGACTCGTTCACTATGCCTCAGGCTGCGGGGCTCAGGTCCTCACACGTGGGCCTGTTCTTAAGGCTGCGTGGAACCCTCAGGTATGGCAGCTCTAAAGAAACAAGCAAGGGAGAGCAAGGAGGAAGCCACCAATGTCAGGAGGATTTATTCTTCTCAAGTGCACATGGGACATGTCCCCAGATAGACCATATCTAGGCCATGGAACAAATCTCCATAAATTTGAAAGGATTGAAATCATACAAAGTATATTTGCTACTCAGGAGGCTGAGACAGGAGGATCACTTGCAGTTTCAGGCCAGCCTGGTCTACAAAGTGAGTTGAAGGCCAACCTCAACTGCATTGTGAAACCGTGTCTCAAAAAGACAAAAAAAAAAGGTATATTTGCTGACTACAATGGAATGAAATTAGAAATCAGTAGAGCAAATGAAACCAAAAGCAAGCAATAAAGATAATAAAGGTTAGAGTAAAAGTAATAAATAAAATTAATATAACCCAAATTCTGTTTTTGAAAGGTTCAGCAAAATTGACAAATCTTACCTAGACTGACCCCAAAATTTAGAAAGACAGAGAAGACTCATATTATTAAAATCAGCCAGGCATGATGGTACACTCCTGTAATCCCAGCACTTGGGAGGCTGAGGTAGGAGGATCACTGCAAGTTGCCAGCCTGTGCTACATACTGAGTTCAAGGCCACCCTGAACTACATAGTGAGATCCTGTCTCAAAAAAAAAAAAAAAAAAAGCCCAGGTGGTGCTTTCAGACTCTGAAAGTTTTTTGGTGGTGGTGCATGCCTGTAATCCCAGCACTGGGAAGGCTGAGACAAGAGCATCACCATGACTTCGAGGCCAGCGGGGGCTACACAGTGAGTCCAAGACCAACCTGAACTACATAGCAAGAGCTTGTCACAAAAAAGGAACAAACGAAAAAGCATTAACACTAGTTCTTTCCAACAAGAGGAGGGAACTTCCCAATTCATTGTGTAAGGCCAGTATTCCCCTGATGCCAAAACTAAGCAAAGGTATCACAAGAAAAGAAAGCCACGGACCAACTTCCTTGGGAATATGGAAGTTAGAGTCCTTGGCCAGCGAACAGATCCAGCACATAAAAAAGGTTATACACCAGGACCGACTGAAACAGAGTGGTTTAACATGGAAAACCCCACTGACTCAACACGCGCCTACTTGAGCAGGGACTTCACTGGCATCAGGGAGCCTGATGTAAATACTTCCCTCCGCTGATGCAGTGCCGTCCCTGGGTGATAGGGCTTGCTCACTTATTTGAGAGTTTGCTGAACACTGCTTTTCTTCTGAGAGTCTGAAATTTGTCATCTGGGCATGCTATTTCTGTGTGACTGATCCCCAGTAAAAGTTTGAACTTAGCCAGGTGTGGTATGTCATGCCTGGAATCCCAGCTACTCCAGAAGCAGCTGAGGCAGGAGGATTGCTATTTTGAGGCCAGCTTGAGCAACTTGGTCAGATCCTGCCTTAAAAAGAAAAACAAAACAATGCACCACATGTAGATAGATAGATAGATAGATAGTGTTTTATTTTGGCAGTAGTGGAAGATCAAACCCTTGGATGGTCTACTGCTGAACTATATCATCACATTTTTTTAAAAACAGGGAGCCCTTTTATTTTATTTTTTATTTTGAGACAGAGTCTTATAAAATTGCTGAATTTCCCAGACTGGCTTGAATTTGTGATCCTCCTAGCTTAGCCCCACAGAGTACTGGGACTACAAGTATACATCATTACACCTGGCTTTTAAAATTTTTTTTTTTTTAATTTTAAAGAGTAAAAGAAGGATAACATAATAATAGGGGGAGCTTACCAAACGAAGTGGTAGGAAATTATCAGTGGTTATTGTTTTACATATTGTTATCTACAAGATAGTTTCTCAGGAAAACAGGCAAATAATAGTGAGTTACAGACAAAAGAGGTAGGAGATTATCAATAGTTGTTGTACTGTACTTTGGTATCTTCAAAGTGGCTTCTGAAGAAAATTAAAAATTTTTTTTAAATGGCTGAGAATGTAGCTCAGTGCAAAGGCCCTGGATTTGATCTCCACCACTGCAGAAAAAACAAACAACAGAAAAAAAAGCCTGGACTCAGGCTAGAGCATGCTCAGTGATCAAGCACTTGCCTGGGGTACACAGGCCCTGGGTTTAATGTGTGTGTGTGTGTGTGTGTGTGTGTGTGTGTGTGTGTGTAAAAAAGTCTGTAAAGATGATCTAGCTGGTGGTTATCTCTAGGAAGAAGGATTCCAAGAGTCCTTACCTTTTTTATCATTTGTTTCCACCAAGTTTGAGTCTTTGTAATCAATTATATGTGTCCCCTCACAACCAGGAACATCGCGGAGACCAGGCCAGACAGCGAGGCCCAATGAGATGTCTCCAAGCGGGCAACAGAGGGGCATCGGCCGGTGTCCCAGATGCTTCCCATCCACGCAGGCATTTTCCACCCATCTAGAGTTGCTTGACAAGTTCTTTCATTCTTCCCAAGTATTGATGGCCGTTTCCTCATAGGTCTGTCAGTGCTTGGACAGTGTCCCTGTGTCAGCAAAAGTAGCTGCTAGAGCTAGTGGCGCGTGGTGGGTGGGGAGGTGCAGCGCAGGGCACAGAAAGCTCTGGAGGGAGCATCTGGTTGGGCCAGAGAGGCCCCATGCCCACTTTGCTGCCCAGAGCCACAAGCGCCAGAGTGCAGACTTCACAAGGACTTTGTGGCAGGTGTGGTCCCGCGTGGCCCTGTGAAATACCGTCACCCAGGCCAGCGCAGGCAGGGGCTTTTGCTCCTTCTGGGGAGCACCCTTTGCAGGCCACACAGGGTCTCTCCTGGACTGGTGGGGGTGGCACTTCCTGGTCTTCGGCCGCCTGCGGCCCTGTGGGTGCAGCCAGCCCCGAGCACAGTGGAGCGGGTCCCAGTGGGACTTGCCAGTGGCAGCCAGCGCTGGGCAGACACCTGGGCTGCACGGGCCCCTCTGGGTTCACCTGTGTTTACCCACAGCATGAGGGTGGAGAGGGAGGTGGCAGTGAGGTGTAGCCCTCCTCTTACTGGGAGCTAGCAGAGCACCCACCAAGGCAGTCTGGCTGGGCCACCCTCCAAGGGGCACAGGGACTCCTGACAAGGACTGCAGAGCCTCCTGCATGCCAATAAGGCTGCCCCCAGACAGCGGGTCCCTGTCCCCACCCTGTAATAGTAGAGGGAGTGTGCAGGATGGTGGCAGGGTCCCCTCTCCTGGCAGCCTGGCCACAGAACTGTCATCCGTGTTGAGTAGTGACAGCTTGTGCCCCTTGGCTCTCAGCTCATCTGCTTCCTCCAATAAATCCTCTTCCCTCTCACCACAGGCCTGTTGCATGTCTGCATCCCACCTGGGACAATAGGAGGCCACCACGAGGTCACACGCTCTTGACTGTCAAGGCCATGTGTTTGGGAAGCGATGGGTTTGGGTGGGCAGTCCCTGGGCAGAGGTGGTCGCAAAGTGGGGTGGGGGACATGGAGTGGGGACCTCGGGAGGGGATGCTGAGGTCGCTGGCGAGGCAGCCCCGTGGGCTGTCTAGACTCTGGCGGAGCAGGTGATGTTGCTGAGAGAGGCCCATCTAGTCTGCCGCTGCCTCTCAGCCATGAACTGGGCTGCATGAGCCTGGGCAAGTTTGAAATAGGAGAGGTACCCAGCAAATATGGTCACCCCACACACACCACTATCTTCTCGTCGGCTAACTCCCCATTTGTGATTCTGGCCCATGACCGACCCTAACTACTGGCTTCCCTGGGCCCCACCAGCCAGACCTGCCATTATGGTCCAAGTTAGATGTAGTGGTGCACGCCTATAATTCAGCACTCTGGGGGGCTGAGGCAGGAGGATCCCAAGTTGAAGCCCAGCCTGGGCAACTTAGTGACTTAGTGAGACCTTGTCTGAAAATAAAAACAAAATGAAGAGCTGGCTATATGGACTTGAGGCAAAGGCCCTGGGTTAAATCACCAGTACTGGCAATAGGAAGAGGGCTCCGTGATTTGACAGGCACTTCCCAAGCAGCGCTGCTGCTGTCTGCCAATCACCCCAGCACTGCTGACCCTCAGCAGTGGACGCTCCACACCATGGCTGCATTTGACCACGAGGCACCCCCATCTGAGGCTGAGGGAGGAGATGAGGGGACGGCACCCCACCTGACCCTCTACTACAAGTGTGCGCTGCAGGAGGTGCCACAGCCCGAAGGCACCAGAACTCAAAGGACAGCGAGCAGCAGCCTGTACCTAGGGTCCCCGTAGGTCTGACCGTCATCTTCCCTGTTCACATGTGGCGGTCCACCGCACCTTGGCTAGGCTCCGAGCACCGAAAAATGGGCATAAGGACAGTCGAGGAACACCAGCTTCTCCCGGTTCCTGGGACACTCACGTTGCTGACAATGGCCGGTGTGCGTGTGTGGACGGGAGGCCAGCCCACGGTGCTTGGACTGAGGACCCCCAGTGGATGTGGGCTACTTTGCCAGCTGCCCAGCTATGTTCTGGGTCCACTCAGCCACACCCGGCTGGTGTCAGCCACTCACAGCTATACTTCTGTGCTTTCAGTGCTGTGAGCTGTCCCAGGCCTGTCCTGTCACAGAACAAAACACACCAACAGTCTTTCTCCTAGATGTTGCTATAGGTTGGGCCACCAGCAAGGGCCCTCAGCAGCCTACCCTCAGCTTCCCTGCCCATGCTCTGCCCAGAGACTCCCCCGAAACTCCCCAGTGTAAGCCAGGTGTTGTGGCCAGTGCCTATAATCTCCACTAATTGGGAGACGAAGGCAGGAGGCTCACAGGTTGAAGTCCCACCTAGGCAATTTAGGAAAATGGTGTTTTTTAAAAAAAAATGGGATGTAGTTCGGTGGTAGAGCATTCCTGGATGCATTGCTCAGTACTGCCAAATTAATAATGAGTCTGCCCCCACCCCAAAAAAATGTATACACACTTCAGGAAAAGAAAAACTTGTATAAATATTTTAGCACGGATTACAGTTGATTGAGATACCATGAGATTAATACAAGTTACCTTTGGCTTCTAGAATTACAAGAGGTGATCAAGGTGGTGGCCATTAGCTTCAGCATCAGCATGGAGAACTGCCACTCGGGTAACCTTGGTCACGGAGACTGCTGCGTGTGCATTTTGTTGTTTTGGTCTTTTGGTAGCAGAAATCGAACTCAGGACCTCAAGCTTGCCAGGCAGGCACTGTACCATTGAGCTATGTCCCTGTCTGCATGTGCATTTTTAGTTTCTTCTCTAAGGGCCAGCAGTGTAGTGGGTTTTCTGTGATATCCCACATTCTCTGGAGTCCCCCGTCATACAAAGTTAATACCATCTGTTGAAAAAACACTGTTTTTTTCTTTTCTTTCTTTTTTTTTTCTTTTTTTGAGACAAGGTCTCACTATGTAGTTCACATTGTTCTTGAACTCACTGTGTAGCCCAGGCTGATGTCTTGTTTTGTTTTTTGTTTTGTCTTTTTGAGACAGGGTCTTGCTATGCAGTTCAGGCTGGCCTTGAGCTCACTTTGGAGCCTAGGCTGGCCTCAAACTGCAACGATCCTCCTGCCTCAGCCTCCCAAGTGCTGGGATTACAGGCATGTGCCACCAGACCAGCATTAGGCTGATGTCAGACTCATGGCATTTCCCCTGTCTCAGCCTTCCAACTGCTGGGCTTACAAGTGTGCATCAGTATGCCCAGTATAATAATAAATTTTTAAAAATAAAAAGAAGCCAGGTGCAGTGACACACCTGTAATCCCAGCACAATGGAGGCTGAAGCAAGAGGATTATAAGTTTGAGTTCTGCCTGATCTGCATAGCTAGATCAAGTCCAGCCTAGGCTACATAGTGAGACCCTGCCTCAAAACAAAATCAAAAACCAAAACTGGGCGTGGTGGCTCATGCCTATAATCCCAGCACTCAGGAGACTGAGGATTGTTGCAAGTTTGAGGCCAGCTGGGGCTACAGAGTGAGCTCAAGGCCAGCCTGAGCTGCATAGTGAGACCCTGTCTCAAAAAGACAAAACTAAAACTAAAAATAAAACAAAAACTATAAAAGGAGCCAGGCGTGGTGGCACATGGCTGTAATCTCAGCACTGGGGAGGCCGAGGCAGGAAGATCGTTGGAAGTTTGAGACCAGCCTGGGCTAAAAAGTGAGCTCAAGGCCAGCCTGAACTGCATAGCAAGACCCTGTCTCAAAAAAAAAAAAAAAAAAAAATGGGGATGTAGTTCATTTGTAGAGCTCTTGCCTAGCATGTGGGGACTCCCAGGTTCAATCGCCAGTACTGCAGAAAAAATAAAAAATATTACATCTGCACCATAGGGCACTGGCATGTGTCTCCATGCCCTTGGCATAACTGCAAAACAATGTCTTATGAATTAAAAAAGTCAGCCGGGTATGGTGGAATGTGCCTATAGCCCCAGCTACTCAGGAGGCTGAGGCAGGAGGATTGCTTGTGCACAGGAATTCAAGACTAGCCTGAGCAACACGGTGAAACTGTCCTTACAAAAATAACTCCTGGACAAGGAACTCAAACTCTGAAAACAATGGCAATGGCCAGCTCTAGGAGCCGCTGGCCTTCCTGGCCTTGCCCCTGTGATTGTAAGATGAGCTTCATGGAAACATGTCTCATGGCTCTGTCCTCTGTCAGTCCCAGTTCAACTCCTGTCCCCATCTCTTCCGTCAGGACAGAATAAGGACCTCCTGGTCACCAAGGTCAACAGATGCTTCTCGGAGCTCCCCTGAGCGCTGACCACTCCTCCTTGACGCCTCCTGATGCTTCTCCGGCCCAGCACCCCTGTGCGGGCTTCTCCTCCCTCGCAGCATGGGGATTGGTGTCCTGGGAGCCAGACACCGCCCGGTCTGCATGTTCCCTCTCACAGGTCACCGCTTTTGGTCTGTTGGCAGCCCCAGCCTGGCCCTCTTTCCTGCAGACCAGACTCGGGTATCCAGCTGCCCTGGGCCTTCCCCAGCCTTTCCCAGCCTTCCCAGCGCCACCAGCAGTGCCAGCAAGGAAGGGACTGCCCTGGTTTCTTGGCTGACGGACAACTACCTGGCAGGAACCTAGACACACCCTCAGTGCTGCCCTTCCTGTTCCTCGGACCCATAGTTAGTGCTGCCACCAACCTTGATCTTTTTTTCTTTCAGTTCTGAGATTAATCCCAGTGCTCTACCACTGAACTGTAACTCCAGCCCTTTTCTAAATTTTTTATTTTTGAGACAGGGTCTCACTTTACAGTTCAGGCTAGCCTTGAACTCACTATGTAGCGCAGACTAGTCTCAAACTTAAGATCCTCCTGCCTCAGCCTCCTGAGTGCTGAGATTACAGGTGTGCTGCCATGCCTAGTTAAGTTTATTTTTATAGTTTCAAATTTTTATTTATGTATTTGTTTATGTGGAGTACTAGGGAGTGAACCCAAGGCCTTTGCACTGAGCTACATCCCGAGCCTTTTTCTTTTTTAAACAGGATCTCACTATAGTTGCCCCACCCAGCCTTAAAATTCATGATCGTCCTGCTTCAGCCTCCTGAGTAGCTGAGCTTGTTCCGTCTTTGGTAACAGTTCATTGAAATACAATTCACAATTAATTTAGTGGCTTTTAGTGCATTCATAGAGCTGTGTGCTCAACCTCACCATCTAATTCCAGAACATTTCCATCCTCCAGAATGAATCCCAGTTCCTCCCTGAGTGTGTTCACTGGCTAAAGGAGGCTCCTTCCTTTAGGGTCTTCTAGGGTGCTGAAAGGATTTGGGGAATCTCAGTATGGCACTGTAAAGAACACCTTTTAGTGGGTCCCTGTATTAACATAGCTGCATCCTTTGGTCCCCAACTCACCTGGGGCTCCAGCCATTCACATCCATGACCGCAGCAGCCCCCACATGAACCACACCCCCAGTGGCCCCATGACAGCTGGGGACTGGGGGCTTTTTAAAATGCATATCACATCACATCCCCCTGGTCCAGGACGCCCTGTTTGGTTCCATGTCAGAAATGACTACCGGGCTCCAGGACCAGAAGCCAGTGTATCCCAGGAGATCTCTGGAGACAACCGGGCAGTGTCCCTCAGGCCTCAGACCACCAGTTGCTGGTCCCAGTACCACCTGCCCGTGCCCCAACAGAAGGCATCCCGGTCCCCGAGGAGGAGACCCATCCGTAGCCTGTCTGAAGTCCCAGGTAAGCGACAGGCACAGCCAGGATGCTCACCTGCCTTCAGGGCCCACTTTGGGCTGAGCACACTCCCAGCAGGATCCCCTGAACCCTCAAAGCCCTTGGCTGACAAGAGCCCCGCCCTTGCCAACTTCACTCCACAGCCTGTCCTCTCTCTCCCACACACACTTTGCTGCCCAAAACATCACCACACACTTGGCAGCTTCTAACGCCCATTTATTATCTCACACTTTGGGTGAGCCACGGGCCTGGGAGGGCTGGATGGGGTCCTCTGCCCCGGGTCTCTCAGGCTGCAGTCACAGTGCTGGGTCCTCTTCCAAGCTTGCAGCCGCTGGCAGAAGTCATTTCTCCAGAGCTGTGGGTGGAGCTCGAGGCTATTTGCTGCTTCAGCAGCCCAAAAATGTCAGCTGCAACGCTCACTGCTCTAAGGCTCGCTCACAGAGATGAGTCTTGGCTCATCTCTCCACACTTTCCTTTTCGGTTTGGTTTTGCAAGACAGGCTCTTGTTACGCTGCCCAGGCTGGCCTCTAGCTCCTGGGCTCATGCCGTCTGCCAGCCTCAGCCTCCCAAACCACTGGGACTGCAGGTGTGCGCTGTTACACCCAACCCCTCTCCTTTTGTTTAACTCAAAGACGACACCTCAGTCCCCACGTTTTTTTTTTTTTTTTTTTTTTTTTTTTAAGACAGGCCCCTGCTAAATTGCCCAGGCTGAGCTCAAACTTCAGATCCTCCTGCCTCAGCTTCCCAGCGTGCTGGGAGTACAGGCGTGCACCACTGATGATGCCTGTTTTGAGGCCTTAATGGCATCTTCGCCGTTGCCACATAACACAGCCTGATCACACGAGAGACATCTATACATTCACAGATCTGTCTGCGCAGCAGGGCGCAGGCTCATGAAGCATGTGGAGGCCCAGAGGCAGCAATCTGGGGCCCATCTGAGATTCTGACCACAGCCCGCAACCTACTTCCCTTCCTAATTTGCCCTCCCTGTCCCAGGAAGTGCCGGAGCCCAGGCAGCGTGACTTCAGGAGTGGCTCCCCTGAGTCTGGGAAGTGAACGTGGGGTCCCCACCGGCTCTGTGCACCCCGTCCAGGGAACCCCACATGCTCAGGTGGACCTTACCCTCTCCTGCGCTCCCCACACTGAGGCAGAAAGACTTGGGGACTCTGAGGGGTCCCAGGTGGCCCTGTGTGCGCTCCTGGGAAAGGGGCTGGGCTGCACAGGGAGGGGAGGTGCATCCTCTTGGGGGAGAGGCCAGGGACAGAGCTGGGTGCCAGGCCCAGCACCCAGCACCTGGTACCTGGCCTCCCCTCTCCCCACTCTCCTGTTCACCCCTGACCCTTCCAGCCTCCTGGCGGCTCTTTGGGAAACCCCTTCCCCCAAGGGGCGGGGACTGCTGAGAGTGGGAGTAACAGTCTCTGCCACTTCGGGCGGCTGCAGGTAAGGAGTCAGTGCCACAGCTGGCGGAGGGCACCCGTTCCTGAGTGCTGCCCTCCTGATGCCCCCAGCACCCCACCGCTCTCCCCTCGAGTCACACTGTCCGCGTTAACATTATTTCTGAGCACCTGCCAGGTGCCAGCGAGGCCGAGCTCCAGCCTCCTCTGATGGAAGCTGAGGGCCCTCAGGGGGCCGGCGGGGAAGGCAGCTGCGGTGTGCTGGGCTCTGCGGAGCGGGCTCTCAGCTGCCCCTCATCCTGGGGCTTTTAAGGGAGACAAGCTGCTGGTCATTTCCAGGGTGAAGGTGCCACCACCTCTGGCAGCAGGGCCTCCATTTGGATTTCCAGGCCTGGGAGCACAGAGAGCCGCGTGAGCGGGGAGCCGCCAGCCTGGGGGAGGCGCTGCGGGGCACGGGCTGGGGGAGCAGGCACCTCTGTGAGGCAGTTGCAGGCCAGGGCCAGGAGGGCGAGGAGGGCCAGGACTCCGAGCGCAATGGGGATGCCTATGGGCATCTGCAGCCCCTGGCTGCTGCCGTGGTGCTGGGGAGAGAGGAGAGGGCGGACAGTGAGGCGGCGGGGGCAGGGGGCGGGGCGGGGCTCTCACCTTCGTGTTCCAGCCCAGCTGTTTCTGGAACCAGCTCATGATTGACTCGTCACCTGTCTGGAAGGGGGACAAAGAATTGGAGGCTGCGCTCCATCCACCCGGCCGCCCTCCGAGGGGCCCCGGCACTCCCGGCCCCGCTCACCGAGGCACCGGGCCCGGCTTGCCTGCGAGAGCAATGGGTCTCTCCGGAGCCTTCGAAAGTGAAAGCCTTCCTGCCCTGACTGCCCTAAGAAGGAGGGGCGGGAGGAAGCCGCCTGGCCACCCAACACGGCCCCGGGCCCCGAGGGGAGCCCCTCCCTGGCCCCGCACAGCGACGCCATGGGCTGACCAGACGGACACACAGACAGACGGATGGATGGACTCCACCGCTCCAATAGTTTCAGTCCACCCGGGACGGACCAAATTCCAGCAAGTCACGTGGATTCCTGAAGCGGCAGAGTCCTCGGACGCCCCCAGCAGACCACTTCTGGTTCTGCACCGGCTGCTGGCCTCACCCACGCCCCCAGCCTCCTTTCCCCACCTAAGGCCAAACCGCGGTACCACCGGCCGCTGAGGATCCAGTTTCCCCAGCCGTGAGCATTTGGTGGGATCGTGGGGAAACTGAGGCTCGGGGCGATCAAGAAACGTCAAATCCCAGGAGATCAAGGACAAAATCAAAGTGAGTTTCCAAGCCCGGGTCCCCCAGGCTGGTGGCAAGAGAGAGCACCTCGGATAAGCTGCTGGCAACACAGCCCTCCCGGCTGCAGGCGAGCCTGGCTCCTCGCTCCGGGCCCTGTGCAAGGACGAGCACCCTCTCAGCATGGAGGAGGGACCTGCTGTGCAGTCCTCACGCAGATCCCTGGGTGCGGGCAGAGCCAGGCGGCTCCGGAGGTGGTGAGGGGAGCATCCCAGAGGAGGCCCTTCAGAGATCCGAGGCAGGAAGTGGCCCAGTGAAGGAAGATGGGCAGGGGCTGGTGCTTTCAGTCAGGGAAGCACAGGGGTCGGGCCCAGAGGTAAGAAAGGGCCCGGGGCTGGGGAGTGAGAAGGGGCCCAGTGGTGGGGTGGGGAAGGGTGATTAGGACACAGGCCTGCACGTCACGTGACTGGTAAAGGCAGCCTGGAGTGATGCTCCTGTAGGCCAAGGAAGGCCAAAGACTGACACAGACCCCCTGAAACTAAGCTCGGGGCATGCGACAGGAACCCCTCAGGCGCCAGCCCAGCCGACACCTCCGTCTCCGACTCTTGGCCTCCAGAGTGTGAGACAATAACTCTCTGTTGTTCAAGCCACCCAGATTGTGGAACTTTGTTACAGAAGCCTTAAGGGGCCAAACACAGATGCAAAGAGGTGGGCAGAAAGCCTGGTGAGGTGATGCAAGAGGCTGAGACAGGAGGATCCAAGTTCGAGCCCAGCTTGAGCAACTTAGCAAGATCCAGAAATAAAGGCATGGTGGTGCAGGCGTGTGATCTCAGCCCTCGAGAAGCTGAGGCCAAAGGATCGCCATGAGTTAGAAGCCAGCATGGGCTACATAGTGAGTTCATGGCAATGTGAACTATGAAAGGAGACCCTATCTCAAATAAGTACATAAATAAATAAATAAATAAGGAAGGAAGGAGAGAAGGAAAGAGAGAAAAAGAATGAAAGGGAAGAGAAAGCAAGGAAAAGAAAGTGAAAGAAAAAGGAAGAAAGAAAGAAAGACTGGGAATACAGTACAGAGGCCCTGGGCTCGATCCCTGGTACTGAGGGGAAAGGCAGATGGACGAGGAGGGTGTGCTCATCATGGTGGTGGCTCCTTCCCCGCCCGCTCAGCGCTAGCATCCTCATCAGTTAGCATGACCTCTCCCGTGTATGTTGGGCATTCTCTCCATTCAGTCGGTGAAGAAGAGACAAACTGAGGCTGTTGCAGAGCAGCCTAGCGGGGGCCCACATCAGTACGTCCCAAACTTTAGCACCCAGGGGTCTCGGGGAAAGGCAGATTGTGAGACAGACTTGCATTTGTAACAAGCTGCTGGTAGTGGGGTTGGGGATTTAGCTCAGCGGCACAGTGCCTGCCTGGTAAGCTCAAGGTCGTGAGTTCGGTTCCTGGTACCAGAAAAAAACCAAAAACCGAATGAATAAATAAATAAGCTGCTGGTAGTGATGACGATGTGCACCGAATTTGCTCCCATAACCTAGTGCAAGGGAGGCAGGGAGACAGGGTCCAGGGGTTTGCACAGGAGCTGGAGGAGCCAGCATCAGCAAACACAGGTGTGCAGAGCAGGTGGGAGGAGCAAGGCTCTCCCATGAGACGGGCCTGCAGAATCGCAGCTGAGTGACAAGGGAGTGACTGGAACTTTGGGTCCTCCCTGCAGGGAGCCTCTTTCTGAGCTCCTGGAAGGTGCTCCTCACCCTGCACCCCTCTTCCAGGTCTCACTTAGGTGGACAAGGGACTTGGAGATGAGACCCACCTGGTTCATTTCCCCCCAGGACCTGCCCAGAGACCCCCAGGGCAGTTTGCTTCACACAGATCATTTCTACTCCCTCCTTTTGACTTGGTGGCTGTGACGTACCCCGCCATGAGGGCCAGGCCTCAAAGGAAATTTATCCCCACTGGGAAGTGAAAAAATAAAAGAGACAAGGTCAAAGCAGCTGACTCCACCCTGGGTCCACCCTCCCTCTGACCGGCTGTCTGCACAGTGAAGGACTGGGCTCAAGGAGCACTGACCTCTACACCTACCTCCTGGGGATGTCTACCGGGACAAAGTGGCCTGACTCCTCATCTCAGCGTCCCCCACATTTTCACCATCTTCCTCACTGAACCTGGAGACTCTGGATCACATGGTGGAAAGGAAGAAAGGACAAGGCCCTTCCTGGTGTGAGATACTTCTCCTTCCAAACCCAAATGCTGGGCTCTTTGCTGCCCCCATGTGGCAGGCCTGTGCCTGTGAACTCATTACTTTGCGTACCAGCCTACCACCAGAGTTGGTCTCAGACCAGAGTTGGTGATCCTAGGTTGACCCCTGTTCCTTCCTGGCCTCAGTCTCCTCATCTGTGAAATCCACTGCAGGGATGTGAGACTCCTAAAAGAAGGAAAGAGGGAACTACTGTCTCTATACTCAGAGATTCCTGCAGAGTCAGGGATCCCCCAAAGCAGTACAGGATGAGGGCAGCCTTTGCAACTAGCTCTTGGGTCACAAGAAGCAGAGTGTTGACTATCAACTCCCACACCAGACCAGCTTCCAAGGGCGCCTGAACAGAGTTGGTGGGTCTGGAGAATGGGGAGATGAAAACCTTGCCACCCCACCTCCACCCAGCACGGGCCTTGGGAGCAGACACAGGCTGCTGCTTGCAGAGCACTGAGTGCTGAATGCTGCGGGGGGAGGGGGCTCGGAGGCCTTCCTTAGTTCTGAGAAATTCCAGGAACAACCTGAGACAGGAGGGGCTTCTGACCCTTGCCTGTGTCTCCTGGGCTGCCTCTGCAGGAGGCAGAGGATTGGGCAAACCAGTCCCCCAGTGGACCGTTCTCTTATGTCCATGTGGTTCCTCCACCAACCCTCCCATGACTTCCATTTAGAACATGGACATCCCAACTGACCCTGTCCTCCACCTCACGCCTTCTACCAGACAGCCTGCACCCTGACATTCTTCATGGGCTCTCAGGAGGGAGGGACAAGGCAGACCCTGGTGGACAGGTGGCCCCCAGCTGCTCGCTGGTTAGGGGGTGGCTGGTGGGTTTCAGTGTAAGGCTAGCATAGGAAAGAGACTCCCACTCCAGTGCTCAGCCCGGGAGGAGGCGCCCTGACGCTGGGCCCGCCTCCTTCTAACGCCATGCCTCCCCGTACATGCCCCAACCCCAGGAGCCTTCCTGAGGCATTAACTGCAACCTCAGTGGGTCAGATCACCAACTGGGGCACCTTAGTCTCTCGGAATCCTCCCTGTGCCATCCTGCTCCCAAATCTTGTTTCTCTATTTGCCCCCAGAATGGGTGTCAGGCTGGGAGCAGAAAGCTAGCAAGGCCCCCTGTGGACAGCCTCCGGGGCCTTGGTGTGGGGTGGCAGGCTGGACTGACGGGCAAGGGATTTAGGGCCCCTGCCTCCCTCCACCTACTTCACTCGGCCTCCGCCCTCCCACGCACCTGCGCTGGCCTCCCCCCAAACCCTGGGGGCAGCGGGCTGGCAGCGCTAGATCAGAGGACTCTGAGGAGTCGGGCCCAGGAGGAGGGGGCGGGGAATTTCCCCCCACGCCTGCCTGGGCCTGCTCCCCTCCCCCTCCCCCGCCAGGTGGGGGGCACCGCTGGGGGAATTCCACAGCACTCCCGAAGCTCTGAGCTCCGGGATGGGGTCCTAGGAAGGAGGGGAGGGGAGACAGGGAGAGGCTGGAGCCGGGGCGCAGCTGCCTTCCTCCCCAGACACCAGCTGCCCCTGCCTGTCCCGGACCAAGCGCCCACCGACGTTCGCCTGTCTCGCGGGTGCGGGGGCAGGGAGTGGCACTTCCTCCTTGAAGCCAGCGGCGTCGGGACTTGGGGAAGGAGGAGTGTGAGCGAGCGTGCGCGGCCGCAGTGAATGGGTGACGGGGCGGGAGAGAGCGCAGGCACTTGAATAAGGGTGCGTGTGACCCGGAGACTCCCTGCTGCAGCGGGAGGGGATCTTGCATGTCCCCTTTCAGGATCCCTTGTCTGCTAGGTCGGCCTGTCCGCCTTCACCTCCTTCCACTAGAACTCGCATTGACCCTGGGAGGAGAGGGAAGGGGCGGGGAGTGATTCGCCCGGAGTTGGGGGTCCTGGGAGGTGGGGGCGGGGGGCAGTGGGAGGCGTCTGGACCTGCTGCCTGCGCTCCTGTCCCGGGCGGGGCTTGCCGTCCTGGGGGGTGGACCCGCGGGGGAAAGCGAGGGGGGCAAGAGCTAGCGCGTTAGAGACCCGGGCGAGGGAGTCGCAGACAGCCAGGCGCAGCGGGAGGAGGAGGGAGTGGAGGCCGAGGCACTGCCCAGAGCAGGGGAGCAGAGACTGAGAAAGCCCGGCTAGATCCGCTCGGAGAGAGCCCCGGGCAGGGACAGGGGCAGAGACACCTCCAGGAGGTACAGACTCTGGGAGGCGAAGATCCCCGGGAGATATCTTCCCCCAGGCAGACAGCGCCGCCCAGAGAGTGAGAGGAGGACAGCAAAGGACAACGCCCCCAAGGTCGCCTTGGAGACCCGGAGCGGCCCAGGGGGCGGTCGGGTCGTGTCCGGGCCAGGACGACCTCTCCCTGGTTGGGGGCGATGGGGACACCAGTCCTGCTGGGCCTCCTCCTCTTTCTCCCGCTGCTGCAGCCGCGCAGAGCCTGGGCGGGAAGCCTGAACAGTCCAGGTGAGTCAGGCACGGGGCCAGGTCACGGTCACCACTCTGTTCTCAGCCTCTGCACCAGGGCTGGTTGGGGCCCCGAGGCTGGGGAGGAGGCAGAGCAGGTGGCGGGAGCAGCTGAGCAGCCAGAGGGGCCCGCGGGGGCGGACGCCGCCGCGGGTGTAGACGGTGACCCCGGCGGGGTGGGGGAGGGCGCGGGGAGGTCCAGCTTCCCCAGGTCCCGCGATTGCCCGGCAGGTCTGTCCGAGTGCTTCCAGGTGAATGGCGCCGACTACCGTGGCCACCAGAACCACACGGGCCCGCGCGGGACAGGACGCCCGTGTCTCTTCTGGAACCAGACGCAGCAGCACAGTTACAGCAGCGCCAGTGACCCCCAGGGCCGCTGGGGGCTGGGCTCGCACAACTTCTGCCGGTGAGGGCGAGGCCTGACGTCTAGCTACGGGCGGTGACCTGAGGTGGCTTGGTGTGGACCTCACGGACATCTGCGCTTCTGCCCAGATCAGCCTGGGGACCTAGGGGCGGGGCCAAAGCGAGGGGCGGGGCCTATCTTGCGCAGGGGGCGGAGCGCGATGTCCAGAACCATTTTTGCAAAAGGGATGGGATCTAAGCACCTAACTTCTGCAGAGTTCAGATCGGGGCCAAAAGAGAAGGATCAGGTGTCCGTTGAAGCAAGGCCTGGTCAGTGGGGAACCCTGGAGTAAAGAGGCAGGCTCTTCACGTACTTCTTTGGCATCAACTATCTATGTTGGAGGGATTTGGATCTGCCCCACAGTTGGGCTGGAGCAGTGGGGACCTAGGGAGACCACTTCCCAGGAACCGCAAAGTTTGGGGCTCACCACCTCTGCTCTAAGCGAGGCATTGTTGTGCATGCCTGGAATCCCAGCCCTGGGAGCTTGAAGCAGGAGGATCGCTGTGAGTTCGAGGCCAGCTTGGGCTACATAATAATGAGTTCAAAGCTGGCCTGAACTACATAATAAGACCTGTCTCAAAAAATAAATATAGGGGTTGGGGATTTAGCTCAGTGGTAGAACGCTTGTCTAGCAAGCTGGAAGCCCTGGGTTTGGTCCCCAGCACCAAAAAATAGAAATTAAAACTCAACTAAAAAACAAAAAATATATACATAAAATAAAATAATAAAATAATGACAAGGGAAATGGCAAGTGAGGGTAAAGTCCTTAAATATGAGATCAACTCCTAGCAACAGGGGCTGGGGATTTAGCTCAGCGGCACAGCGCCTGCCTGGTAAGCGCAAGGTCGTGAGTTCGATTCCCGGCACCAGAAAAAAAAAAAAAAGTTCTGGCAACAGCCCTCACAGTTCCTTTAATGACTTAGCTACTTGAAAGCTGATATCCAGAAACACATGGCAAAAACTAGAACCTGCATACATGGCCTCCAACAGAGTAGAACCTTGGTGGCCACACTGCACATAAGGGCAAAGGGACCCTGACCCCTCCACCCACGCCCCCCCAGGAACCCAGATGGTGATGTGCAACCATGGTGCTACGTGGCTGAGACAGAGGAGGGCATCTACTGGCGCTACTGTGACATCCCCACGTGTCACAGTGAGTGGGCCTGGCTGTAGAGAGGGGAAGTCCAGTGGGAGGGCTGCTTTCAGAGGTGGGAGCCTGACCTCACTGTCCCTTCAGTGCCTGGCTATTTGGGGTGCTTTGTGGACTCTGGCACACCCCCAGCTCTCAGCGGCCCCAGTGGCACCTCCACGAAGCTCACGGTCCAGGTGTGCCTTCGTTTCTGTCGCATGAAGGGCTACCAGGTACAGTACTGCCCATGACCGCTGAGCAATAGCCCCTGACTGACCCTGACCTCAGGACACCACTTAACTCCCAACACTCTTGACACCGAACCTTGGCACTGATTTCTGAACCTTTAGCCTGATTCCCACTTCTGACCCCACCACTCCATCCCTACCCGGGTCCCTGCCTTTGGGGTCACCCAGTCTGTGCTCCCAGCTGGCTGGTGTGGAGGCTGGTTATGCCTGCTTCTGTGGCTCTGAAAGCGACTTGGCACGGGGACGCGGGGCACCCGCCACTGACTGTGACCAGATCTGTTTCGGCCATCCGGGGCAGCTGTGTGGTGGCGACGGGCGGCTAGGCATCTATGAAGGTGAGTGGAAGGCTGGAGGGGCCTTTGGATGAGGAGACAAGGCTAGGTGGAGCCAGATGTGCCATAGCCTAACGGGGGCAGAAGCAGGAATGGGGAATTGTAGGCTGGGGTTCCTGCCTGGGAAGAGGATCAGAATTGACAGCAGGTCTGAGGAGGGAACTGGAGACCAGGCCCTAAGCAAGGATTGGTCCAAAGGCAGGGCCTGGGGCTGGGAATTTAGCTCAGCGGCAAAGCGCCTGCCTGGCAAGTGCAAGGTCGTGAGTTTGATTCCTGGTACCGGAGGAAAAAATAAAAAATAAAAAAAAAAAAAACCAACCAAACAAAGGCAGGGCCTATGGAAGTTAGGGAGGACCTAGGTTTGGGGTGGGACCTCAAGAGGGGACTGGGCTCTCCTGGGCTGGGGCCTAGCTGGAGTGGGAGCGGCAGCCATTAAGGGACAGCTCCGCTGACCTCAGGGTCCTGACCACCCGCCTTGCACGCAGTGTCTGTGGGTTCCTGCCAGGGAAACTGGACAGCGCCTCAGGGTGTCATTTACTCCCCGGACTTTCCGGACGAGTATGGGCCAGATCGGAACTGCAGCTGGGTGGTAGGCCCATCGGGTGTGGCGCTGGAGCTCACCTTCCGCCTTTTTGAGCTGGCGGACCCACGCGACCGCCTGGAGCTGCGCGAGGTCCCCTCAGGGAGCCTGCTACTCGTCTTCCACGGAACCCGCCCGCCGCCCGCCGGGCCGCTGCGCCTGAGGGTCGCTGCGCTCCTGCTCACCTTCCGCAGCGATGCGCGTGGCCACGCGCAGGGCTTCGCACTCACCTACCGCGGTGAGCCCCGCCCCGGGCCCCGCCCCGGGCCCCGCCCCTCCCGGTGCCCCCGCCCCGCCTCACACTCCGCTCCGCAGGGCTGCAGAATGTAGTCGAGGACCGCGTGCAGCCCAAGGGATCTGCCCAGACCCCCGCGGAGATTCCTGGCGGGGCCAATTCGAGCTGCAGCCCCAGGCCTGTGACCCTACAGGCTGCAATGGGGGGTAAGGCGCATAAAAAGTGGGTGGAGGGGGTGAGTCAAGGAGCAGACCCTGAGGGAAAGAGGAAACCTGTCCTAACTACACCCGTATCCCGCAGCCCGGGTCTTCTCGTCGGTGACAGTTGTCTCTGTGCTGCTCTTCCTGCTCCTGTCGCTGCTGCGTCTCCTGCGCCGACGGTGTGGGCGCTGAGGCAGGGCTTGAGGGTGGACCAAGCACCAGGAGCCTGACACCTTGGAGCCCAGGGGCATGGGGCCCCGGTGGGGACTTGGGGTCCCGGTGGGGACTTGGGCCCCAAGGTGGGAGTGAAGACAGGAAAGGACTTGTGTGTTTTTGAGGGGGCGAGGCTTTGGGTGCACACAGCCACGTGTGGGACCCCAGGCAGAATAGGGTGCTGGAGGTGGGATTGGGTAGGGATCCAGCTGACGTCTGCTCACTCCTTAGGAACTGTCTCCTGGCTCCAGGAAAAGGGCCACCAGCGTTGGAACCTTCCAGGGGCACTGGGAGAAGCTGGGCTGTATGGTACCACAGGCCCAGAGGGATGGCCCTGCCCTGTCCTACCGGAGATCCCCAGGCTGAAGGTCCTGCCGAGGGCTACCGGCCCCTGAGTGCCTCCAGCCAGAGTTCCCTGCGGTCACTCATCTCTGCTCTCTGACTGTGACTCACAGGGTCTGTAGGACATGAGACCTTGTGCCACTGAGATGGACACCTGAGACATTACACTGCACCCCACCTCGGTCTTCCACCCTTCAAAGGAAGATCAGCCTCTGGTCCTCGTGGGGAGACCAGAAATTGGACAGGAAGCATCTAGTGCTATGGTGGGAACTTGGCCTGACCCTCAGGGTCCAGGTGATCTAGGCCAAAGGACAAGAAAAATCCAGGTTCCCAACCCATGGACCTTGATATGGGGGTGGTCTCTGGTTTCAGTGGTCTTTGAGCCCCTCTTGTGGTGATCCTGGACTGCTGCCCTCAGTGAGAGGTCAGTGGTCAACAAAAGTGGTCAAAAGATCCACCCTAAACTTTAAATAGAAGGCCTATTTTGGTACAGGCCTCAAAAATTCTTACATGGAGGGAGCGGCTATGTTAGTGAGATACAGCAGCAGAGGATTGACTGTATTCATGCAAATGAAAGGCGTTTCACACAGTGAATTTGGTGGAGCCTTCTGGAATGCAGAGGATGAAGGAGCTGAGAATGGATGGGTGTGTCCTGTAGCACGGGGAAGCTAGTGGGCAGCAAGATGTGCCAAAGGGACATGGCTTCCTGGCCCCACCCAGGGTGGATGCAGTGGAACGGGCCTTTCTCCCTTCCCCCCTGCCTTCTGTCTTCACCGCTGTTTCCTGTCCTGGACAGGGCAAAAGGTGCACCTCATGCTATAAGGAGTGAGCTGGGCCAGGCCCAGGCGAGAAGCTTCCACACGCACCTCCTCAGGCCAAAGTGGGGGCGCTCAGGAGCTTGTCTGGATCCTCCCAAACTGGCCCGTGCCAGCAGCACCTTGGACAGAGCCCCGACGGAGAGGTGGGGGCTGGGTGTCAGGGACTGTGCCCTCGAGGGCGGAGGTCCAAAAAATGTGACAACCTGGGCATCATAGGAAAGATCAAGTGCAAAATGCTGGGCGACACCAAATGTCAGGTCACTCCAGCACAGCATGTGGAACCAGCACCTCAGGCCCCAAATCCGCAGCTACCCCATGCAAATAAGGCTGGAACTATATATATTATGCTAAGAGAGGGGGAGGAGGAGGCGTAGGCAGCCCGGGGAGGAGCTCCCCATTGGCCCTGCCCATTGGGCCGGGCAGTGTATACGTCAGGAACCTAGCGCGCGAAACACCACCAGGGTGACGGGGGAGAGGAGCCCGGGGCGGAGTCTCGCGTCCCCTCCCTCGTCCTGCCGCGCCCGTCCTCCGAGCTTTGGAGCGAAGACCCGGAGACCTGCTGTGGCCGCTGCCTCTAGGCGAGCTATCCCAACAGCTCGCCTTCCCCGGACGCAGCCAGCCGCTCTGCGCCGGCGCCAGGGTCTTCAACCTCTGCCCACGCGCGGTGGATCCCGGCTCGCGCAGCGCAGGAGCAGAGTGGGCCGGGTCCACAGGCTGGCGTGCGTGGTATTGCCACGCGAGGCAGCGAGCATGAGCTTCCTGACACTGCAGCCCCGCTGAGGAGGAGGCCCTGCAGCAGCAGAAGCGCGGGCCGCCCGTGCTGCTGGGGCCATGGCGTTCCTGGCCGGGCCGCGCCTGCTGGACTGGGCCAGTTCGCCGCCGCACCTCCAGTTCAATAAGTTCGTGCTGACCGGCTATCGGCCGGCCAGCAGCGGCTCGGGCTGCCTGCGCAGCCTCTTCTACCTGCACAACGAGCTGGGCAACATCTACACTCATGGTGAGCCGCGCCCCGCTCCGCGCATCCTGCTCCCCGCCCTGCCTGTGTGGGTCCGGGCCCCAAACTAAGGAAAGCCCCCGCGCCCTGGTCCCGGCTACTCCCGGCCCTGACTCGGCTAGGAGCTGCAGTGACAAAGCTGCCATTGTCCGAGCCGCGCCCGCCAGCTTCCGCTTTCTCAGCAGGGGGGCCCAGGACCGGAGAGGGGAGCTGAGTGGGGGCCAAATGCGGTTAATCCTGCTGAGCTGAGCGTTGGGGGTAAGGAGCCGGTGTCAGACTTCATAATCCCAGTGCCCTGGGCACCCTCTGGCGCCGTCCTAGAGATGGGTGTTAACCCCTGTCGAGAAGGGCCTGGGGCGAGATGTGCACCACAGCCGGCCCCAGTCCCTCCTTGCCCTGACGCCCCCGCCCCCGCAACCCCCCGGCTTGGATTCCGCCTGACGGTAGATCCCCCTCCCCCCTCAGGCGCCCTGCCCCTCCTCCCGGCCCACAGCGCTCTGCTGACACAGACTTGCCTGTCCTTGAGCCGTCCCAGCCAGGAGAGGGACCCATAACTGCCTGGGTTTAGCCATGGAGCCTTTCCCCGGTGACAAACTATAGATGGGCCAGACCCCCTCCAAGACTGGGCCGGCAGCTAGTGTGCTGGGTTGTCTCCAGTCAGGCCACTACCATTGTGGGAGGGAGGGTGGGCATCTCCCAGACTTGGAGCTGGGAGGAATGGAGCCCCTGGAGAGACAGAACGAGTTCTTTCAGCCCCTTGCTCTCCCTCTGGACTTGCCTGACCTCACCCCTTTCTGGAAGATAAAGATGCCTCAACCTTCCTTTTGTGTGGGGGACTTGGGGAGAGGCACTTGGTAGCCCTGGGGCTGGTATGTTGCCCACGTGTCCTACTCAGAATGCAGCCCGAGGTCCCGCCTCACAGGACTTCTGTGGACACCCCAGGACAGGCAGGCCTGCTGGGGCCTCCTGCTTGAGGGGTGAGGGCAGCTTGGGAGGCAGATTGCCTGGGCTTGTCCCACCCTCTGCTTACAGCTGAGTTCACCCGGGCAGGTTACTTGGCTTCTATGCCTGTTTCTTCACCAGCGAAGTGGGGCTCATGGTCTCTACTTCCCAGACATTGAGTGAGCCATGAAAGTGAGGCCCTGAGCTGCCTCCACGCTGGACTGCTGGTCAACTTCAGACCCGTCTCACTCTTATCCCTCTTATGCCAACTCTAGACTGATCCCATTTTGGAAGTGACCTGTCCTCTATGTGGAAACTGCCTGATTGTTAACTGTCTCCCTCCCCCAGGGGTGGCCCTGCTGGGTTTCCTGGTGCTGGTACCGATGACCATGCCCTGGGGTCAGCTGGGCAAGGATGGCTGGCTGGGGGGCATACACTGTGTGGCTTGCCTGGCACCACCTGCGGCCTCAGTGCTATATCACCTCTTCATGTGCCACCAAGGGGGCAGCCCCGTGTACGCCCGGCTCCTCGCCCTGGATATGTGTGGGGTCTGCCTCGTCAACACCCTCGGTGAGCCAGGGCTCTAGGGAGGGGGAGGCAAGGGTTTCTGGCATGGTCCCTGGGCAGCCTCGGACTGACTGCCCTCTTTCTTTGTCTCTCTGCAGGGGCTCTGCCCATCATACACTGTACCCTGGCCTGTAGGCCCTGGCTGCGCCCGGCTGCCTTGGTGGGCTACACTATGCTGTCAGCCGTGGCTGGCTGGCGTGCCCTCACAGCCCCCTCTACCAGTGCACGGCTCCGAGCTTTTGGTTGGCAAGCTGGGGCCCGTCTGCTGGTATTTGGGGCCCGTGGAGTAGGGCTGGGCTCAGGGGCCCCAGGGGCCCTGCCCTGCTACCTGCGCATGGATGCACTGGCACTGCTTGGAGGGCTGGTGAACGTGGCCCGCCTGCCAGAGCGCTGGGGGCCTGGCCGCTTCGACTACTGGGGCAACTCCCACCAGATCATGCACCTGCTCAGCGTGGGCTCCATCCTCCAGCTGCACGCCGGTGTTGTGCCTGACCTGCTCTGGGCCGCTCACCATGCCTGTTCCCCGGACTGAGCTGCCTTCTACCTGGCTGTGGTCTCTTGGGCCAATAAAGCCACTTTCCCTCCTCCTGCTGGTCTGCAAGGGGCAGGCTCCCTGGATGCTACCAGTGCACAGGACTTCCAGCTGAGATTCCTCATCTCTTCATTCTTCCCTGTGGACTAACCTCTCCTTCCATCCAGACCTGGAACTCCAACTTCCCTTCCCTGCCTTTATTCCTTTACTGTGCCAGCTGGAAGGACATCTCACACACACCTCTTTATCTCTGTGACCTGTAAGGGGTTGGGCAGAGGGGACTCTAGGGTCATATCTCACTCTGACAGTTGGAGTTCTGCCAACTTATTATGCCATTATGCCCCACCTGCCAGTCTAAAGCCATCATCCCACCCTGCCTTTCCCCTAAGAGGCTAGCCCCTCATCCCTGTTTCCTGGCCTCTGTCTGTCCCCCTGCATGCTTCCCCAGCAGCCAGAAGCTCCCCTCTCCTGTCCAAGAGACTGGAGAAGGGTTGGGGGCAGCAGGACCACCCCCTTTTCCTAGGACCAAGCAGGCACTGGCCCTTCTTGAACCAAGTGTCCAAGAGGCAGGAGGGCAGTGGCTGATTTCCCCAGGCAACAGGCACAGATCTGTGGAGTGACTCCAGACCCAGGCCCCACTTAAGGGCCATGGTCTGGAGGTTCAACCTGCCCAGTGGGGACATGCCCACTCAGGAAATCTCTGTTCCACACAGTGCGGCTCCACTCCTCTGGCCTGAGGCCAAGGTAACTAGGCTCTGCAGCAGGGGTCGGCCTCAGGGCTGCATCCTCCCAGAGGCCCAAGACCCTGGGCAACATTAATAAAGGGACAGGAAGCATTGTGTTGCTACTCGAGCAAGCTTGGGTACTCCCAAGATTCAAATACTTTTTATTAGACACAGGAGTTCCCAGACAGATCCCACCTTCCCAAGGGAGGGACAAGAAAAGGGTTCCAAGGTTAAAAGCACCAAAGTTGGGCCTGTGGTTCAGACTGGGTCTAGCGAGTCCTCAAATAGGCTGAGGAGGTTCCGAGGCTCAAAAGAGGGGCAGGAACCTCTAGGAGCCTCTGAGTCCATGTCACTCAGGTCTAGGGCATTCCTTGGGGGAGGGAACAAAGAGGAATGACACTCAGGATCCTAAAGCCAACCTTGGTCAGCCCCAGCCCTTGGGCCTGCTCACCTCAGTGTGTACCTGCCCTGGGGTGTGGAGGTGCTCCTGGTGGCTGGGCCCAGGATGGCCTCTGGGGAGAGTGAGGGCCTGTAGGAGGATGGGCAAGACAAGTACGGCGTTGGGGCGAGACAAGTATGGGGTTGGGGTTTGGGGAGTGCGGGACAAGACCAGCTCTGACCCAACTTGGGTCAGTGAAGCAGTGAGCTTTGACCACCTCAAGTCCACCTGACCATACCCCAAAGACCACCTGTCCCTTTTCAGAGCACACAAAACTTCAAGCTGGATTTTAAGTGAACTTCTGATAAATGAAGTTTTCCTAGCACTTTCTCTATGCTCTAAAGTGGCTCCCAGAACAAGGATGACATTAGTATAAAGAAGGGATTCCTCCTGAAAGCTGTGTCTGGAGCATGTAGCTTTCCTGTGTAGCAGTTTCTTAATTATGGCCTCTCATTTGGCCACCAGGCAGCTGGGGCTAAGGTGGGATGGGGATGCCAAGGTGTGAGAGGATTATTTCACTCAGGGAAGGACAATGTCTTGTCCGTGAGCACTAGCAGTCTCTCCTGTGGTGGGGATTCCCCCGTGCCTATCTCAACAGGGGCACTGGTCTGCCTGCTGCAGCTGGTATACAGATGGCTGTGTGCAGCTGCCATCCCATGGCTAAGTCGCATTCACACAGGCCAGGCTGCACCCTGGAGTATGATGGGGCCAGGTTTATGGCAGGCTTCCATCCAACAGTTCTCTCCATGGAGTCTGGGCCTCTTCCTACGTAACGTGATGTTCCCTCACCCCAAAGCATGCTTAGCATTGACCTACCCTATGCTGTCATCATCCCAGCTGCTAGAGTGACTGCTGTCCAGGAGTGGGCTGCAGGGTGGTGAGCCAGGTGGGGTAGCTGGTGGACCTGGGGGCTGCAGCCAGCTGGCAGGGTGAGCCAGGCCATGCCAGAGCCAGCACAGCAGGGTGAGCAGGGCCTGTGGGGAGACTGAGCCTTAGGAGACCAGGTAGGTCCTGATGCAGTGTACAGGTGGCATCCTGGCACATGGGGGCTTACCTGCCACAGGGCCCAGCCTCGACTCAGGGCCTCGGCAGCCATGTACCACAGGACACTCCAAGGCCGTGGCTGCCTCAGCATGGGCAGGGCCAGCAGAGCCTCAGCTGTGGCCCGCAGCTGGGGGTCAGGCTCCAGCATCATGACAAGGACAGAACGTAGTTCAGCAGAAAGACCTGCTCATGAGGCAGGGTCATATCAGGGACCCCAAGCCACCAAACAAACCAAACCAACAAACCAAACCACAGCTTAACAGTAGCCCCACGGGCAGCCATTCCCTGCCATAGGCCATAGGTAGGGAGATCATCCCTGGATCCCCACTCACCAGCAGTGAACTCAGGGGGCAGGTAGCCCTGGCGCAGCTGCTGCCAGCCCTCCCCACCATGGGGTAGTTCCATGTTGCAGGCTACTTCAAGGATGGTGAGACCCAGACTGGGAAAGACAAGGGATAGGGACAGAAATGGGCAGAGTGGGCCCTGGGACACTGACCCCAGTCCCAGACAGCCTCTTAGAGGGTAGAGAAAGGCAGCTCTCTTCTACCATCAGCCAGAGAGATGTGGAAAGAAGGGCAAGAACCTATAAAGAGGCCCCAGAAGGGCCAATAAGCCATAGGCAGAATGGGGATCTTGTCATGAAGTGTGGACCCTGCAACCTAGTGTAACCCATGCGTTGCCACTGCTGTGATGGGTCCTATAGCACCTCACTGACAGACACTAGGGCTTTCATGGTTACTAGTATTACCATCTTTCTGCTAGGACTATCAGATACAACTGTTGAGGGAAGGGCAAATGGCTGCCGGTGTGGACTTGGAACCTGTGCCTGGGCCCAACCTCAGCTACTAACTGAGGACTTGGGGGAAGTCCTTTCTACAATGGAGTAACGGCTGATCCTCCTGCAGAACTGTGAGGAGATGGTGAGTCTATACAAAGACTCTCCAGGGGGCTTGCTGCTTATTGGTGAGAGAATGGCAGCCAGCTCCACAGATCCCTCTGGAGGGCAGGGGCATATCCCACAGGCCTGAGGCCACATATCCTCCAGACATGGGGTCAGGAAGGCGCTCCTCTCCTGGGGGGCCATTCTCTCTGCTGACCACCCACAGGAAGAGCTGCCTACAGCCCACCATAACCCTTTCATGTCCCAGCCCTTACCTGAATATGTCTGCTGCTGTCCCGTAGGAGCCCTGCAGCAGCTCGGGAGCCATGTAGCGGGGATCTCCCTCCTGGGCCTCACCAGCTCCAGCAGTACCCAGCTCCACCAGCAGCCCAAAGTCACCCAGCTTGCAGCGGCCACGGGGCCCCAAGAAGATGTTGGCTGGCTTGACATCAAGGTGGACCAGGCCTTGCCCATGCAGGTGGGCCAAAGCTAGTAGGGTGTCCCGCAGGTAGCCCCAGACTTGGGTCTCTGGCAGGCTGGTGCCCCAGGCCTCAGAATGTTGCTGAAGGCTGGGCCCGCACAGCTCTGTCTGCAAGTACAGGATACCGCCCTCCTCCCAGGCCTGCTCCAGTCGCACGCAGTGTGGGTGCTGCCCCACCTTCTCATGGCCGCATACCTCAGCCAGTTTGCGGGCCCGGTCCTTAGGGCCCCGAAATGGCGACATGGACCGCTTGACTGCATAGAGCTGGCCGTCTTCCTTGGAGCGCACCTGGAAGAGGTAGCAGGGTGGGGAGGTGGGCCACAAGGACACAATCACATTTAATACATGTAAATGAGGTGTGGTAGCACATGCCTATTATTCCAGCACTCTTGGAAATTGAGACAGAAGGATCATAAGTTCAAAATTAGACAACTTAGCAACTTGGTGAGACTCTGTCTCAGAATAAAAAAATTAAATTCAAAAGAGGCTGGGGATGTAGTTTACTTGAAAGGCCCTAGGATCAATCCCCACTATAAAAAAATTTTTTTAATTAAAAAATAAGCCCATCAGGAGTATGGTATACTGGGACAGTCTCTACTCTGACTAGAGAGACTCTAGGGCTCCAGAACCCCAGGGGCAGTATGCTGTGTTGTATGCAAGCTGTCTTCTAGAAAGACAGCTGATCCAAGGGCCCATGGTGCTTGCATTTTTAACAATATTGTCTTCAATATTCCAAGGGAAAGATACCACTTCAAAGAAAATATAATTAACAGCAAAACGTATTTTAAGAAAAAGAAAGGTGGCAGGCAAGGTGGCAAGCCTGCCCGTGTTGTGGGGCAGGTTGGGCACTGCACATGAGCCTGCTCCAGGAGCTGGGCAAAGCTGCCAAGGACCCCAGTGCAGCTGGCTCCAGGCAGAGAGATGGCAGCTGAGAACACTGAAGGGTGCGCCAGACTCCAAACAAGGCACCAGTCAGTGTACACAAAACAGCCCTGGGAGCGCCTGCGTGGGGAGCATGGGAGAGTAGCCAATCATGCACAGTGGAGAGGCTGCTGTCAGAGACAGAGAGGAAGGAGCAGGCTGCCCAGGACACTGTTCCACCCAGGGGAGGGAAGCAAAGAGGTCCACAGGCAGGCCTCAAAAGCCATTCTCTTACCCACCTTGAAGACCTCTCCAAAGGAGCCGTGGCCCAGGCGGCTAAGCCTCTGGAAGCTCTGCTGGAAGAACGACTCTGGCCTGTGTGGGTCATACCCAGGGCTCTGCAGGAGCTCTGAGGCCTCATCCCGGAATGACACTCTCCGAGGCTGGGGCTGGTGCCAGCCCAAGGTCCGAGGAGGGAAGAGACGGCTGACAGGGATGCTGCCCTTGGCAGGGGGCCGTGGGGGAAGGCTCCGGCTAAGTCCCCTGGGCCTCTTGAGAGAGAAGCCAGGCTCTGCATGGCGGAAGTAGGCAGGGACTGGGACAGGGGTGCCACTCAGGGGTGGTGGGGTGCCCTCAGTGGGCACAGGCATGGCCAGTGCAGGAAGCCCTGGGGGTAGAGACAGAGGCCAGTTACAAAGCACTGTGTCCACCCAAATGCCCAATCCTGTGGCCCCTATGAAAGCCATGTCTACACCTCACACATGTGCTGTCTTACACACATGAAGCCTGTGGGGACCACACGCACCTGCAGGAGAAGGCAGAGGACAGGCAGTTACACACCTGCATAATGTGTGCTGTATCTTGGAGATGACAGAAATATGACAGGGAGACCATAAGCCTATGTCCCTCAGGGTCTCACAGCCCAGCAGAAAGGGTACAACTGGGATGGTCATGGTGGCACATCCCTGTAACCTTATCACTAGGGAGGCTGAGGCAGAAGGATCACCATAAGTTCAAGGTCAGCCTGGGCTACATAGTGAGTTCAAGGCCAGCCTGGAATACATAATGAAACCCTGTTTTTAAAAGAGAGAGATGGCTGGGGATTTAGCTCAGCGGCAAAAGCGCCTGCCTGGCAAGCGCAAGGTCGTGAGTTTGGTTTCCGGTACCGGAGAAAAACCAAAAAATAAAATAAAATAAAATAAAAGAGAGAGAGAGAGAGAGAGAGAGATGGTTCTGGAGTTGACACCTACACTTCCAGCCCTCCTCGCTGTGACCTTTTCCAAGACCCTGAGATGGATATATCAGTACCATCCCTTATCTCCAGTTCCAAAGTAAAGACTCTGAGATCCTAACGTTTCACTCTTCTTTCATTTTTGTGGTGCCAGAAGTGAGAGTGGAGTTCTGTTTCTACAGCAGAGGTATGAGGAGCCCTATAGGCCTATCCCCAGTGACATAGGCAGAACAGGTGAAAATCATTCACAGCAAGAATTTGAGTCTCTGGGTGTAGTAATATGGGCAGAGGGCAAATGAAGAAATGTTTGCATCAAATGTGTAAGAAAAGAAGAAAATCTACCAAACCTTAGTAAGAAAATCAAGAATGTGTGGTACTTGGAAATACAGCCCTATGGGTAGAGGTGGCCAAGAAGACTGGGCTCCTGCTCCCCATTAAAGTTAGGATACCAGCCCAGGGGGAGCAGGCTCTCAGCATTTCTCAGTGCCCCAACTTCCCACTGAGTGTGGCAGACAGGCCAGAGGCTCCCTTCCTCCACCTGCCAGCCCCTACTCACAGACTGTGCAGGGGAGCTTGAAGGGCTAGCCCCAGCTCATGCACAGGAAGCATGCTCTACACTGCTCCAAGGAGCAGCCAGAGCCACTGCCCCAGCCATTCCCGCTTCTCACTCAGGGAAATATGCCACTGTCCCTGTCCCCAGCGCGGCTCAGGTGTTTTGCTTACGGGTAGTAGCAGGCTGTAAAAGAGAGCCCTAAAGCTGACCCCTCCCCCAAATGAAAAAATGTGCAGAAGTGGGTTTACCCTGGGGTCAACCTGCAGGCAAAAAAACAAAAAACAAAAACCTCCAAAACTGAAGGCCTACATAAATGGAAAGACACTAAAGACTTTACATTAGATTCAAAAACAACGCAGATAAAATAGTAACACTGTCCAAACTATGGTCTGGAAGTACAGCTCAGTGGTAGAGTGCTTGCTTAGCATGTGCCCTGCCCTGGGGATGACCCTTTGTACCACAGAATAAAAATAAAACTTCTCCAAATTAATCTACAGATCCAGTCCATTCTATCAGAATCTCCACTGATTTCATTACAAAAACTGACAAACTGATCCTAAAATTCATATGGAAATTCCAGTGACTCAGAAAAGTAAAAACAAGGCCGGGCATGGTGGTGTATGCCTGTAATCCCAGCACTTGGGAGGCTGAGGCAGGAGGATCGTTGCAAGTTCGAGACCAGCCTGGGCTACAAAGTGAGCTCAAGGCCAGCCTCAACTGCACAGCAAGACCCTATCTCAAAAAGACAAAAAAAAAAAAAAAAAAAAAAGAAAAAAGAAAAGTAAAAACAAACACACATGCACACACACACACACACAAAAAAAAAAAAACCTCAGAAAAGAATAAAGTTGGAGAACTCACACCTCTAGTCTTTTTTTGGTTTGGTTTGGTTTGGATCGGTTTTTGATGAGATCGGACGCAATCAGGATGTTATGGCCATAGACTGGGTTGGTTTTTGAGACAAGGGTCTCACTACATATTTGAGGCTGGTCTTGAACTCACAGGGATCCTCAGCCTCCAGAGTGTGCCACCAAGCCCAGCCAGATTTCAAAATTTACTACAAAGCCACAGTAATCAAAACAGTGTGGCATTCACATAAATATATGTAGGTCAGCTGGACGTGGTGCCCCAGGCTTATAATACCAGCACTTAGGAGGCTGAGACAGGAGATAGCCTCGAGTTTAAAGCCAGTGTGGGCTATAATGTGAGTTCTAGGCCACCCTGAACTGCATAGTGAAACCTCTCAAAAAGATGAGGAAAAAAAAATCAAGAAAAAGATAAATACACAAGTCAAAGGAATAGAACTGAGTTATAAAGGAAAAAAAAAAAAACCTTGCTGGATATGGAGGCCACGCAAGAGGATGGATCTTAAATTTGAGACCACTGCTGGGCAACTGAGTGACTTAGCAAGACTATGTCTCAAAGACAAAAACTACCCTGGGCATGGCGGCCCACATCTATAATCCCAGCGCTGGGGAGACTGAGGCAGGGGTGTTGCCATGAGTTCAAGACCGGCCTAGGCTGTAAGTTCAAGCTTAGCCTGGATTAAATTGCTAGACCTTGTTTGAGGCTGGCCTTGAACTCATAGGGATCCTCAGCCTCCTGAATGTGCCACCAAAAAACCAAAATTAAATTAAATTAAATTAAAAAAATAAATAAAAGGGCTGGGAATGTAGCTTAGTGCAAAAGCCTTGGGTCCAATCCTCACCCTTATTAATTAGTAAACCCAACCATTTATGGTCAGCTGGTTTTCAATAATAAGAGCACCAAACAATCTGATGGGAAGGAACAGTCTTTTCAACTAATGACCCTGAATTTGTACATGCAAAACTAATTTGGATTAGTGGCAGGCTGTCAAAGAGCCCTGACTTAACCTATTCATTTATTCATTTATTGCTTGACAGAAATATTAAGGTTTGATCTTGGAATGACATCTCAGGGCTATGAGTGCTGTTACATATAGGCAATATGCACCATACTAGCTTTCTAAATCTGAGACATTTTGAATTCCAAAATGTATCTGACTCCAGGGGTCTTTGGATCTGTCACACTGTACTGATCTCATGGAAGGCTTAGCCCGGAGTTTGACATAAATCCTAAGCATTATACACAATACTTTGGTTGTTAACTGAAAGAACACCCAAAGTACAGTGGACCCAAGGTGCCAGTGACTGTGTATGTTGGGGAGAGAGAGCTGTTATGTTGCTATAATGTAACTGAAACGAAAACAAGAAAGCAAAAGGAAGAAAGTCAATTTTGAGAGGAAACCACAATGTATCAGCAATATACCTAGCAGAGGGTGCTGACTGTGCAGGATTAGTCTCCTGAAAAGTAGCCTGCAGTTGTTAAGGGAGCAAGTGGGTGAGGGGAGGGACCCGGCTGGCCTGTCTGGAAGGCTCACACTACATCCTCACCTCTGCCTCTATTTAGTTCAAGAATCACACACACACACACAAAAAAGAATCACACCCTAGGGCTTTTCAAAGTGAAGAACCAGGATGCCAGGATCTTCTAGGGCCCTGATTACAAGCGCGGCCCCAGGCCTAGTCCTGATGCAACCAGCACACCAGGCATCTGCACGTTTAGTCACTTCCCAGACTGTCCCCAAGTCACTGACATTTTGGCATCACTGGCCTGGCCAAACAGCCTTAGGGATGGGGGGGGTTGGTGGGGAAGCCAGGCTGGGGGTGAATCACGGTGACCCCCACCCCGCAGTCTCCAGGGGCCTCAGGACTGGCCCTCGCCCTCACCTTCTCACTGCTGACCTCGGTCTCCCACTAGACTGTGAGCGCCTCTCTGCTAGGGCCGTGGCTCAGTTCGCCCCGTCGGCGCGGGCAAGCCCCGGCAAACCACTGGCTGGGCGGCCAGTGACCAAGAAGGCGCTGCCACGGGGAGCAGCGCTGCAGAGCAGGCTCCTCGCACGGCGGGCGTCGCAGGTCCGAGGGGGCAGCGCGGGGACGCG